TGTGTTTGTGTGGCAAGTAACCACTGTTAGCCCGCCTCATGTTACTGTAACAAGTCTTACCAATTTCCTCTGGTGTCACAAGTCCCCCTCCCCAACCACCCCTTCCCATGGCTTAACCCAGAAACCGGGTGTTTCTCAGAAGAAAGCCCATTATTTCCGTTCTGGAGTAGATTAGTGTCCGTGAGAGGGTGAGACAAAGAGGTTCCTTTCATGATGAAAGTTAGCCGTCCCACCAACAGGGCGGAAGAACTGTATTGATGAAGATAGGGAGACCACACACACACACACACACACACACAGGGTATTACTGTAATGTGGGAGTTAGGTGAAAGGAATGGCAACACTGAGAGTCATCCTTTCCATGGCAACACACAAACTCACACATGTGCATGTGTCAACTCTCTCTGCTTCCCTTAGGGGGGGTGCACCAGGGGTGCTCTAAATTTGTATAATATCATGAACTCAAACTGTCTATTGAATGCAAAGCAAGACGCAACACACTCTTACTTGACACTTGTCTGAACTTGTTAAGCGGTGTATCAAAATCCATACAGCTTCTTATAGAATCTCGTCTTGTGTGAGAGCCCCCCCCCCCTCCCGGGGCCCCCTTCCACCTTTGATCCTCACATGGGGGCCTGCTGGAGAATGGCACTGCTCACTGGAGCACACGTCCCTGATGGCTTTATGGCTCTATTGATTTTTCTTCTTCTTCCATGGCGTCATATTTCGTAGCTCTTTTTTTAATTTCGTATCATTCCTATTTCCTGAGTGTAAAGTCCCTGGTATACACAACTATATTGTAATTGTTTATCTACTTATTGTCATTGTTCTTCTGTCATGACATTTTTTTCATTGTCAAGCAACGTGGTACAATTTTGACACTTTGACACTGTTTTTCTTGAAGGCAATCAGTAAAACAGTCAATGATAAGGTGGCACAAAAAGGATGACTTTATAATAATTTTCTCAGTCTGCTTTGTTTTGTCTCCTGACATTTGGGTGAAGGCCGCAAAGACCCCCTGGCTCATTCATGGAATGGAGCCGTATGAGAAGGTTTCTCACAAACCGCACACACCGTGCAAGTCTGTGTCCCGTGCAGGCCGCGCACAGATTTGTTGTCCCAGAGGAAGCGTCCTCCCAGAAGTGAAGGCGTTTTTTCCAAATGGCCCAGTTGAACTAGTTGCATCAATTTAGGCCAGGTGTTTCCAGCAGTCAGTGAGACTCTGTGTACGACACACACACACACACTTACACACACACTTACACACACACAATATGCCACTGCGGTCACAAACGCAGCCACTGCATGCATAATTCTTTTACCACTTGCTTTTTTCTGTTGTAGTCAAGGTTCACTCTGTGTATTTTGCAAGCGCTATTGATAGAATAGCTCAGATGCTCAGACATTCGGTCAGACGTGTTTGGGGAACTGATTTAAAAGAAGTAAACTATATTGAGAAAGGGAAACCCGACAGCTAATTAATAAACCCATTCTTCTGTGTGTGTGCGTGCGTGTGCGTGCGTGTGCGCGGTCATGCCCACTCATGCTTCCGGTGCGCCACTGACCTATATTGGCCGACAGCCGCGATGTGGACAGGGCTGCACAATGCATGTGGGCACCTAGTGCTGGTTGTTGGACATTATCTTTGTCGGGATCTTTAGCTAACGAGGATGTCTCTCTCTCTCTCGCACGCACGCACGCACGCGCGCGACAGGCTAAAGTTCAGGGTTGGATTTCACGTTGTTTCCTTTGTGCCCAAGCTTGGTTATTAAGCTTTGTTTAGATGTTACCGGTGGCAGTTGATATGGCAACTAATTTGCACAAAAAATCGAGATGTCTTTCCCCTGGACTATGTCGCGGCCCGGAGCAAAAACTTGTCATCTAACTCTTTGCAAGAAATGGACCATTCCTCGAAAGCTCTTCATTTTTGCCGCTCTTTGTAGCGTGACCCTTTCCTGTAGCAACTACACTTTATTTGTGTTTTTATACAACATTTGGTGCGCTCGCATTTTTCCGTATTCACCAAACGTGACTCTGGTGTCGGTCGACATATAGACTCATGCAGAGAGCCACGCGGACCCTTTTAGCTTCCGTACTGTGTCGGTGCATCTTTCCCCCTCGCAGCGCGGGAGATTGATTTCTCTGAGTGCTTCACAGGAGGTGACCTATTTTAGCTTATGCATTTTGTGTTTGTGTATCTGCATGGAAGGTGACCGTCAGCACGGCCCTCACACCTTCCCTTCCTGGCCCCTCACACACACACACACACACGCACTTCTTCCTATCCGCAGGAAGAGCATATTTTCTGCCCCATCAGGGCTTATGCCGGAGTTAAAAAAAAAAAAAAAAAAGAATGTTTGTGAATAATTCAGTGTGCAAGAAGTACAGCGATGCTGACTTATTCAGCCAGGAGACAGAAAGTAAGTTAGACCCACTAAAGGCCACATCGCTCCCTTTTCACCTTTTTTACCCCGCTGCTACGTCTGGCTCTAGACATTTCTTTTTAATCCTGGTTTCTTCTCTCTGTGCCCTCGTCTTCTTTTCCATAGTCTCTCCATCCGCCCTCGCTCACTCTGTGTCCGGTAACTGCCCCGGCATCCTTAAGCCAAGTCTAGTCATTGTGAAGAAATGTGTCTGCGAACACGCATGACTCAGTCACACCCTGAAGGGGGTCTGTGAAGTAGGCACTTTTTTGTGTGTGTGTGTGTGTGGCAGTTGAGCGTTCACAGAGGAAACGGGCTAACTCAGTCATGCTCGTCTGATTGATGGAAACTTGGAAAACAATAGGAACATAAGGCAGCAGAAAGGTAGAAATCAAGTGGGAGGAGCCATAGCAATGTGAAAAATACAACAAAGCTTCGCTGGATGCCGACCGGACGCATGGATTCAAATGAACTACTGTAACTCTCCTTTTAACCTGGACAGAAAGTGCAAGTAAAGGTTTAAGATCAAAAGTAATCTATTAGCAGAAGTCCGTCATATGTTAAAATGTGTGCTTCTCACATTTTGCAGACTAGACCACAGAAGTGCAGCGGAGGTGGTTTTGCGGTGTTCTGGTCTTTTTGAATGTGTGAAAAGCATGGAAAGTGTTTTTTGAGTTTTCTAGTGTTTCAGTAACTTTGACCGGTAATCAGCCTGCTTTCGCATATGATGAAGAAAATGCATCAAATCCACATATTTAACAAGCTAGAGCCGCCTAACATTTGACTTCACAATTAATTTAATGTGACAACGGCTGCAAGTTGAGTGTTGTGCCACAAGCTAGAATCAACTACGTAACCTTTAGATTCTCCCCCCTCCTCCATTGAGGACAGAAGCTAGTGTGAATAAAATAAAAACATCTGCTTAGTTACCAGGAGCCTCGTAAAATCCTTTCCTCATTCTTCACCTCCCCCTTGTGTCTCCCCCTATCTTTCCATATCACCCTTTTTATCGCGTACATCCATTTATCCTCTGCCCCCCCCCCCCCCGCCCCCCTTTCTTCTTGCTCCCTCACACTTAAAACAAGGTACAGAGCAGCAGGCAAAGACTGTTCCTCTGCTTTATTGTGTGTGTGTTATGTAACAGGAAGTAAGCGTAATTAGAAACAGGGTCTGTCTGCGTGACAATGGAATGTAAAGAGGAAAACGGTGAGACGGAAGGTAGCTGGGTCCTCGTCCAATTCCTTTTTTCATAGCGAGGTATCAAATTTTTTAAAAAGCTTTGAAAACGACAACGCTTCTTCACGTGTAATCAGTAATTACGTAATCCGCCTGTTGAATGGTAGAATCGGACCATAAATGGTGGTTCAAAGTTTAATTGCGTTTGATGTGCTGTGTGAAATGTGGCTCCGCCCCCCCAGAGATGCGGCATCCTCCTCTAATCTTATAACAACGCTTCCACAATCGGTCTTGGCAAAAAGGTACCTGGAAGCCCAACGAGTAGTCTGTTTCCAGTCGACGGGGTCTGAGTCGGCAGAGCTTTTTCACAACGAACGCCCGTCCGCTCCACCGGTCTGAATTGAGAGTCTGAAGGTGTAAACCCTGGATTGAAAGCGCTGAAACGTCTGTGAGCTGGGTTCTGAAGTTGTTATTTATTTTCATCCCTGGCTAATCCTCTCCAATTTGACCCCATGATTATACAAGTCGTGGGCACGTGAAAGCGCGCAAGCTTTCCCTAAATAGCGGCTGACTTGCTCGCGTTGCTCATAGATTAAAACTAGCGATTCAGCGGCGAGACGAATCCTGTATTACGTGCTTCAGAATGATGAGTTTGTAGTCTTCAACGTGGGAATCGCCTTTGACTTCCCAGCTTACTGCAAACGAGGCGCACAGGGGGAAGTGAATACATATCAATACAGGGTTCATCTCCACATAATGTGTCTTGTGGGAGGATCACAAACCATCGCGAATCCCTGCTGCACTGCCTTCTCTCGCTCATTGTGTGTCTTCAGTGGGTGTGTGTGCGCGCTTCCCGGGCTCTGGCCCAGCACAGAAGCAGACCTCTGTTAGAAATGTAATTCACACGAGGCCAGAGGAGCTCTAATGCTATTACCACACACACACGCACACACAATTGAACACCCGCACAGCTGTGTTCCCGCCCACAGTCTCGTTGTGTACCTCTCATGCTCGCCCATCTTCCTCGCCCTTGTTTCCCCTCCCTCGGCTCGTCGTGGTGGTTCAGAAAGATGAGGGAAGCAAAAGGAAAGCCAGAAAACTCATTATGTCTTTAGTGTGTGTGTGTGTGTGTGTGTGTGTGTGTGTGTGTGTGTGTGTGTGTGTGTGTGTGTGTGTGTGTGTGTGTGGGTGGTATTAGCGGCGGTGTGAATGCAGAGAGCTGCTTCAGAGCAAATGTACATTAAATACAGATCAATGGAACTTCAAATGAATACTTTTAACGCCCCAGATTCAAGTTTCATATTCAACCCGTTTGTCGCTGCTCTCTGAATCTGCACCGTGCAGATAAATGATTGCGTTCTACTAAATCTTGTCTTCTTTCTCTTTCTTTTTTTATTTCAGCGGTTACGACGGTTGTCGACGAAATATCGGACTGAGAAGATCTACCCCACCAACGTAGGAGAGAAGGAGGAGAATGTCAAGAAGAACCGATATAAAGATATACTGCCATGTAAGAACAGGTCCACGCTAATAGTCTACTCATGTAACCTGGCAGCTGGATTCACATACCTCCTACAAGTTTCTTTGTAAATCAGACAGTTATTTGCATGCAACAGAGCTGGCAGAGTATTCTGGTGTCGCGTTTCTCTTCCTATTACTATCTTATTTATCTTCGGTCACCAAAAGACCTCCAGACGGCGACGTCGTACGACACGGGCAAATATGTACTCAGACACAATTCACGACTCCGTGGATTACCTTCCTTTGCTGACATTAGTAAATGGAACACTTCAATTTCGCTTAATAACACATCACTATTTAATCTGTAGGAAAGGCATGAATCTCAGCATTGAGATATCATATGTTTATCCTCTTTGTGTTTAAAGAAAAGTCCCTTTGTGCGCCAGGAAGAATAACACACGTTGAAGACCTTGTGAAATACCAGCGCTGTCTAATTTCTTAAGACTCGCTGGTTTGATGAAGACAATGTAGTATATACTGTATATATTAGTTCAGTCAGCATATCATGTTTGTCGAAATATGGTTACATCCACGTAGAGCGTATGCAGTTTCCCTGCATGCTGTAATGGTCTCTGTCTCACGGAGCTCTCTCTCTCTCTCTGTCTCTCTCTCTCTCTCTCTCTGTCTCTCTCTCTCTCTCCGACTCAATGACCTCGGGGAAGCTTCCACGACCCCAAACATCTGTCCTCTTTTCTTTTTTTAAAATATCTTTACCCTCTTTGTTTCTGCTATGTCAGTCCATCCATCCATTCATTCATTCATTCATTACGCCTTTCAGTGAATGAGCTGCTAAGGCAGAGAAGAACCACTTCATCCGTAACAGATGTGTCCACACAGACACTTAGGCTGTTGCTGTGTGTTCATTAATCTTTGTTTTACAATTCTCTTCAGCGTGTCCTCGTTGGTACTGTTTGTCTTTCAACACGTCACATTTGATCCATTTATCAGTCCTTCCATCTGCTCCTTTCACTTTTTTGTAATCCTCTGCAGAAATATTTCCTAATGCAACGAGGTGTAAATGTATGTGTCTTTTCTTTCTAACCTCCCCAGTTGATCACACCAGGGTGAAGCTGACGTTAAAAACGACCAATCAGGACACAGATTACGTCAATGCCAACTTCATCAAGGTATAAAACGCTGCTGATATTCCTTTTCTTTGTTTCTTGACACTTTGATTACAGTGCCAGAGACATTCTGTGATATTAACTGCTATACCAACCACAGGAACATCCACAGTGAGATAAAGATTTTCAAAAACGATTTTTCAGGGTGAAAAAAAAAGCTCCTGAAGTTCCTTTCGCTTTGTTGTTTGACACTTTAATTACAGTGCTGTGATAATGTAAGTGGTTTAAAATGCGTCATGAATCACAGAATCATCCAACGTGGAGAGGAAGTGCCTTCACAGAATGCATCATTTTTCTTTTAAACGGCTTTGCATTTGTGATCTTTCTTTCTCCCTCTTTCTCCCGGCAGGGTATGGACGGCCCCGAGGCCTACATCGCTACTCAGGGCCCGCTTCCCAACACCGTGTGCGACTTCTGGAGGATGAACTGGGAGTACAACGTAGCTGTGAGTACGGCTCACTGGACGGGCAAAAGGGGGAAAGACTCCCCACGTTTACTGAATGCCAACCAAACGCTGTTACTTACTGCAGAAGTGGGCGTGATGATTAAAGCAATTGAGATAAATATTTAACGCGGCTGCCAGGCAGACTGGGAGCGCTAGTGCTCGCGCCAGATGGACGCAAAAGGGAGGGTGCTGTGATCGGCTCTTAACTGCCGCGGCGCTCCAAAACGCGCTGAGATAATTCCTCCTGCGGGATCCAAGGGAGCGATCCAAGATGAAGACGTGCGATCCGAAAAGGTATCGATTGTGATCCTTCCTGTCTGTGTCTCTGCAGGTTATTGTGATGGCATGTCGAGAGTTTGAGATGGGACGGGTAAGGACATCATTCTCACTCCCTTAGCGTATGGATCAGTCGGCACACGCATGTGCACACACCTGTGATTCATTATCTCCACCAAGTACATGCACCCCCCCACTCCCCCTCGCTGCCATTGGCCTGTTTGTCTTGACATGAAAAATGGAATTACTATCGGCCTGATTGGCGTCTCTATTCTTGTCTGTCTTGGACATGTATGTATACAAAGTAAGGTATCCGTGCATTTAGTACTTCCTGCGAATGTTTACCATGTAATGTTTGTTTTTTTATTTGTGTGTACAGAAGCAGGGGGCAGCCAAAGCTAACCTCTGTTTCTTCTTCTTCGGTTAGAAAAAGTGTGAGCGGTATTTCCCGCTGCTTGGGGAGGAGCCGATGAGTTTTGGCCCTTTCAGAATCTCCTGTGTAAGTAGACAAATCTGTGATATCGTGTGTGTGTGTGTGTGTGTGTGTGTGTGTGTGTGTGTGTGTGTGTGTGTGTGTGTGTGTGTGTGTGTGTGTGTGTGTGTAAGGAGGGGGTGGGGGGGGGTCTCTTGTTTTGGACTTCCACATATCTCACATTTTGTTCCAATGACGGTTTCAGTCACGGATTGAGTGAATGTTCTCTGCTCCTTTTCTAGGAATCCGAGCAGGCCAGAACGGACTACTTTATCAGGACTCTGACGGTGGAGAATGACAACGTAAGTTCTCTTGACTTCTTTCTCCGAACTGTTCCTCGAACTGCACAAGAGAAAAGCATTCTCATAAAACCGGTCCACGGAAAGTGGATGAATAAGTATTATTACAATAACGCCCACATATTTACATCCTCTTGATCCCGGTGGTTCAGCTCGCTGACTTCTTCCATCAACCCTCTTTACAAGCTTTTGAAAACAAATATTCATGCAAATATCCCTGCAGGAAACTCGGAGGATAACCCAGTTTCATTACATGAACTGGCCGGATCACGACGTCCCCTCGTCCTTTGACTCCATACTGGATATGATCGGACTAATGAGAGAATACCAAGAGAACGACGATGTCCCAATATGTGTGCACTGCAGGTAGGCACAGTACAGTACCTGCTCTGCAGAGACGCCAACACAGATCCACCGTAACTAAGGCAACGTTTAGAAAAAAGAAACCCAAGAGCCAGTTTTTCTTGCATGTGAGTCGAAGGATTCACGAAATTGACAGTGTTTGTGTTGTCTGGAAGCAGGCAGCATTGGTTGGTGTGTGTGTGTGTGTGTGTTTTGAAATGAAGTTTGGGCACGGCATAGACAAACCCGACACACACAATTGCATCTGCTTTGGGTAAAGGCTAGATTTAAGATTAAAACTATAGAATTTTTTTTTGTTGACCATAATAACTCGTGGTTGTTAGATTATATTGCATCAGGCCGGAAGTGTTCTCCTTCTAAGCAATGGAAAAAAGAAGAAAAAAAACGTCCTCAAAAGATGACCACACCCCTTCCACCGAGAAAACAACGATCATGGCGAAGACGTCAACAGGGGTGAAACTCGCTGATTCATGAGGCCGTAGATTTAAGTCGTCTGCTGCATACACACTGCGTTGTCTCCACGTGTGTGTAATGAGCTGTAATGAGCAGCCGGAGGACATTTCCTGGTTCCACTGATACACAGCAGGTCTTAAAGCTGGTCCGTCAGGATGTGTGGGGTTGACGTGCACGGTGTGTGTGTGTGTGTGTGTGGAGACCCGGAGCTCGTTAGTGTTGCAGAGGCTCTCTGAACAGCACGAGATGAAGTTTAATGGTTTTTTTGTGTGTCTGCCGCGATGCCACATGATGTTTGGCTCCTGTCTCCATCCTGTCTAGGAAAGGTGTTTTGTTGCATACAAGTGTTCATACATGTGCTTGAGCATAGAGTAGAATCCAGCTAGAGTGTGTGTCTGCGTCTTTTACTTCCCCTTCCTCCGTTGAATCTAATCTGAGTGACTGTCTGCACAGTGCCGGCTGTGGGAGGACGGGGGCCATCTGCGCTATCGACTACACATGGAACCTCCTCAAAGCCGGGGTATGTGTACACACACCCACTCCCACACATGCCTAAAACATACCTGTATGAAGACGCACACCTTTTACACACTAAATGTCGAGATTGAAGCGATACTCACTTTTGTGTTGCGTTGTGTGCTTTTCAAAGAAAATCCCCGAAGATTTTAATGTTTTTCGGTTGATCCAAGAGATGAGGACGCAACGACACTCCGCCGTGCAGACCAAGGTTTGTCCTCATCTTCTCGTGTACACGCACACTGCACACGTACCGATTGGAGGTCTCTTTCAGTGGAAAAATGCTCATTGATGCTCTGATGCCGATCGTATAGCAACACAACCGCGTTGACGCAGCCATGTTTAGGAACGCGGGACCTGTGGTAGATATAATAAGATGGGATACGTACCAATTGTAGAATCAATAGATTTTCTCCAGCTGGTGGAGTTTGCCGCACTGGACTGCTGATCCTCAGCTGGGTGGGATTTGTACCTTTCTGTATCTATGATGTGATCTCCCCTCTCTCACACGTGCCCTGGCATTCAGAGGGGAACTGAGCCCCGTTAGATGCACGGCAGAATTTCCTTGATGGAGACCGCTGGAAGCCGGTAACTGTAATGTAATTTTCTGAAAAAGCAGCGCAGTACACTTACTGCCTTATGTGGAGAGTAATGGGATTAAGTCGGTGTGCATCAGGGAGGCGGTTCTATTGTTTTCATACAGCTTGTGCTCCATAGCCTTGTAAATGGATGTTTTTAAGTTTAGTTTTTTTTTTTAAATTTGTTTTTGTTTATCTCTCCTCCATTTATCTCGTTATGTCTTTTTCTCTCTCTATCTTTCTTTGTCTGTCTCCAGGAGCAGTACGAGTTAGTTCATAAAGCCATCGCCCAGATCTTTCAGAAAAAACTGCAGCTACTGGAGAGCCCGACTGCCAAGATACAAGAAGGCATGGTATGACACACACACACACACACACACACACACACAGTGCTCGCTGTCTGGTGTTGAAGAAAGACAGGATGTTGCGGAGTAACACAGGAATAATTAGTCACAGGGGAGGAGAGGGTAGGAGGAGTACTGGAGAGGGAGGAGAAAGAAAAAACTTTTGCTGTGTACACAGACAGAAAAGAGGAATTGCCGAGTTTGGGCCAAAATGAGAGCTCTCTCTCCTCTGCACCGTACACGGGGGGGGCGCGTACAGTTAGACCGATTTTAAAAAGGCTCCGGTAGGTCTCTCACCCCTGGCCTTTTTAGATTTAAACCCAACCCGCCCCACGCATGCATGCATATACAAAGTGTCCTTAATTGTCCCTGTGCTTCCTTCCATTGCACCAAAACAACCAAACCTAAATGTTAACTGATGTGATGAATTTGTTTATTTTTAGATGACAAAAGAAGCGGCCCGAGTCTTAAAATGCAGCGCTGTAAGTATTACAAACTGATGAGGGGATATAGTAATAGTAAGTAAATAAAAATAGTAATAATAATCTGATTGCCGAGCCGTTGCTCACATTATTATGGAACTGTTTGGGAAGCTACCTAGACAGCCATGATGCTATGCTAGCTAGGCCTTAGAGAAAGACGTTGAGCCACAAAAATGATACTTTTCAGCTATTTAGAAGAAAGTAGAATAACAGTTATTTTAAGCAATCATTTAAAAAAAAAAATCTGCATCCTGTCAAATGTGGGTGATTCCCTGCTACTTAGACACAAAATAATTGTCTCTTTCCAAAACCAGCTGCTGCTTTAAAATATAGAAAAATCAATAGCGCTGCCGTTTCCCGATGCTGTGCAGATATGAGAATAAAATTCAAAGGACAGAAGCATCAATGAGACAGTGTGCTGAAACGGACCAAACTGAAGTCGGAGGACACAGAGACGATGAGCGAGTGCATTGGCAAAGAGCCACGGGTCGACTTCCTGCCTAGGAAGCTCCGATGACATCACCTCCCTTCCCATAATGCACCCGGAGTCTGAGAACAGACCGCTGGGAACGGGAGGTTATTTGCAAAAAATACATTCACAGGGACACACGCGAGCCATGTTGACAAGAGGACGGACTCTGACCCATTTTCTAAACTCCTCCTCTTGGAAAGAAGAGAGGAGATTTGGTCATTAAGTCCAAGACTCCCAGAAAACATCAGTGTGCTGTACTTACTCGCATTGACTCATGACAAGTCAGCAATTGTTGGTGACTGAAACACCCACGTAGGTGCTCTCAATGGCGATGATAATAATAGGCCTACGCATACACACGTCACACACACACAGATTTCTGCTTGCGCACAGGCGCCGCCATATGCAGGAAGCAGCCTAGTGCAACCAAATTGGACGGCTTCTTTTTCCGCCTGTGCGCCAGAAACATGTAGGAGAGTAAGTAGTAAAAAAATGAAGGAGTTGCTGCAGATTAAAAAGAATAAAAAGCACATCTTTAGATAACTTCACATATCAGTTTGGTAGATAGGATGGTTATCGAGTTAAAGTAAAGCTAACCAGGTCAAATGAGTTCATCCTGTTATGTTCACGCACACTCTGACAGAGCGGCACACTGACGGCAGCTCAGCTGATCATTCACCACTCAAAGCTCGATTGAGTTTCTTGTAACGACAGAAATCTGTAAAAACTTCAGAAGAACAATGTGAAAGGGAGGCCAAATCCTGAGTGGAAATGATTTTGCATTGGCAGGATTGGGTCATAAAAAGGCATTTTGCTCTTTTATGACCTGTCAAACTCAATTTCATTTTGTGTTCACGGATTGTCTTATACTTTCCATTACTTCAGTTGGTAATACTATATGTACTTTTTAAAAGTTTTACTGGCAGAAGTCCGGTCTTTTTGTGTATGAAAAAGAGGTTTTCATTTTCAGGTTTTCAAGTGTGTGTGTGTGTGTGTGTGTGTTGTCCAGAACAACAGCAGTCCAGATAAAGCAGGCCACCACTCGGATGACGAGAGATGGGACACGCCTCCTCCGAAACCTCCCCGCGTACGCAGGTCAGACAAAAAAAATCCTGGCACTGCAGTTTATGCTGTGTGATGTTGCGTGTGCCACAGCGCCTTCGGCTCGTTGAAGTAGGTCTGTTGGGTCTGCTTTCACCCGCGCCGCCTTCTCCGCCCTGTTTTCTTCATTTTCCGCATTTTTATTTTATTTTATTCTCTCAGCGACGTTCATTGTCGTTCCCCACTTTTTTCCCCTCTTTTGGGGCCAACGTGACCTTAGCAGTGTTCTCGCGCCACGCTAAAACGATTTGATGGGAAAGCACCACGTCCTACTTTTGGGGAATGTCGCTGCAAGCGATCTGTTTACTGAAAAGATTATTTCCTGCTCAAAGTGAAACCGGCACATTTGAGCTCCGAATCGCTGCCAAAATGAGTGTCTTTCCTGGAGGATTATTGACTCCTGAATCCCAGCATATGTGTTTTTCTGTCTGCGTGTCGTCCCCCAGTTTCTTGTAGGAATAATGTGCGGGCCGACGTAAAGCCGGGGAGTATCTCAGTATTTGTAAGAGCTATTTTTACCTACATAGTCCACATTCCGTCAGCCACACTCCCTCTGGGTCACTGCGCCAGTGTAAGTGTGTGTAGGGACATTTGTGTGTTCTGTGTTCGAGAAAGAAATGTTCTGCAAGGTCGCAAATATTGAGTCATGGCTTTTGCACACGTATTCACTACCACGCCCAGTCATAGTCATATCCTCCAAACCGTCAGTGTCTGTAGCGCCTCAAAAACCAAAAGGTGGCAATTGAAGTTGTGTCAGATTCTTTGTCTTCTCGACTTATTTGTTCATCTTTTCTTTTATTAAAAAGGAAAAACGCCAAACAATTTAAGACTGTATTCCAATGCTGCATGTGACTTATTTTATTCTATTTTAAGGGTTTTTGTAGATAAATGTGTAATTTCTCACAGTAAATCTAAATGGCTACATAACTTAGTTGTCTTTACTGATTCCCCCTTCATAAAGCTCCTTCTCTTTGGACCACAGCCATCTTTGAAGACTTGTTAATCATAAATAAATACATTGCAGAGTCTCCGCTGCAGATCTGTGTAGTTTGAGGTTTGCCATTTTTCTGTTTCGTGCCTCTATGAAACGTGTCTGTTTGAAGCCCCGTGAACACAGATTTTAAGAAATTCCCCCTCTCGCAATGCGTGGTTGGTTCTGTACTCATTTCCTGTGTATACACCAGCCTCTACTTATGGCTACGCAGGAGGAATTGTATTATAATAGCAAAAGTCTGCTTGTTTCATTTTGAGTCACTGCAAGCTTTCCATTAATAAACAAAAATACACATTGCAGATCGTCTGTCGAGAGAGCAGCCAATGTGGGCTCATGAGGAAGTGACTGCAACTCCAATGTTGCCCAAGAAAAAGTTCTAGCTTGCAACATTTCTGTCCGTTTGACTTTCTATCTGACACACACACACACACACACACACGTGTGTGTGCAGTTGTTGGGTCTTGCGTCAGCCACGCGCTTTTGATTTAGCACACCACCACATCCTCTGCTGCTTTTATTTGTCTGTGTGTATGTGTATGCATTATGTAAATGTATACTACGTGTCTTGGAACATTAAGGTATTGTTTAACTTTTGATTGCTGTGTGATCAGGAACCTCCGTATCCCGTGTATGATTCACACCTCCTACACAGAGTTTACCTACGGGTGTTTATAAGTAGTTTATTAGCACCGTGCGTGTGGGAGGCTTTTTGTTAAATACCGAGTGCACTTTTTTATGCAGAACTATTCAGATACTACACTTTACTGAAGTGACTGTGAGAGGACATCTTGTACACTTTGGGAGGTAAACATTACCTCGTTGCCACTGATCAACACTGACTCAAGTTGGCTGCTGAACAGAAAATAATGACACAAAAAAGCAGAATATGGTGCTTTGATATCCACGTGAGACATGTTTTCTCAAGGATGCATTCATTCAGAGGTCTTCAGTTCGACAACAATGGATCATGTGGGAAAACATTCAGTACCATCAGAGCACATGTTATTTGTCTCAGACATACAAGCATATTGCTGTTTTCTTTCTTTATTCTGCCACCTAGTGGTGGGGAAACAAACCTCATGAACACAAACTAAGTTTTTAGTTTCAGTCTAATACATTTAGTAGAAGTCCTGACATCCTGATCCTCATTTTTCTTTCGGACAGGGATTCATTTATAACTGTCTGGGGGGGAAAAACGTTTCTGGAATTTGGCAGAGTAGTGATGTAATTCTCGCCCTTTCATCATTGTCTTTTCCTGAATGGCTTTTGACCCAGATTCCCAAACCAACGCATTAGATTTGCACTCGAACATTCGAGCCACTCGTCGTACAGCGTAAAAGCAAAACCGCATGCCGATGAATGATCGCTTTTCTTTTTCTGTGAAGTTCGCAGGCGGAGGGCGACGTGAAGGAGGAGATACTCCAGCCCCCGGAGCCTCACCCCGTACCTCCCATCCTGACCCCGTCTCCGCCTTCGGCCTTCCCCACCGTCACCAACGTGCGGCCGGACAACGACCGCTACCACCCCAAACCTGTCATCCACGTCCTGGCTACTGCACAGGTGAGCCGCTCCTACGGAGACGTGAAGCTCTGCCAAAGCCTTCTCCACCATTCATTAATTAACAGATTAACAGTTCCGCCCATCATTTGGAACGGTTTGATTTTTACTTTAGTTAACAACAAAACATGTATGGATTGCGCTGATCTCTGTGAGTACCCTTTACAATTGTAACCTTATAAATCCCGCAGTTAAATATTCTGTGAGTTTTGACAATTTCCAGGGGGAAGAAGTTGCCCCTGATACACAAAAGACGTAGTATTCTAGCAACTGATTTGAGAAGTTGCTGAGATGTGTTTTTTCTTCTCTTTTTAGAATAAAGACGCGGACCAGCAGCAGTACCGGTCCGGCTGCAGTCCCAACAAGCAAACCAGTCCCGCAGAGCCGAAAGACCCAGATCTACCGAGTCAGAAACCGCAGACTCAGGCCTCAAATAATGACCTCAATGACTACAGCAACACGTTGACGTCCTCCGCCCAAAGCCAGACTTCCTCGTCGCCCCTCCCCCCGGCTGTTGAATGTTCCGGTGCTCCCCGGATCGAGAGGAAGCTGAGCATCGAGATCAAAAAGGTGCCGCTGCAGGAGGGACCTCGTAGTTTTGACACGTCCTCCGCCTCCGTCGTGGCGGGAGGAGGAGGAGGAGGAGGAGGAGGTGGAGGAGGAGGAGGAGGAGGAGGAGGCCCGGCCAACAGCGCAGGGGCCCTGCAGAGAACCCACGCCATCAAAGCCCGCTCCGCTGCCTCCCTGCTGACGTCGAGCTCCTCGCTGTCGGAGGACTCGGGCACAGAGGGAGGGGCGGGCGGATGCGTGGAGTGTCTCGCGGGCGCCCCGGCCCGACCGAACTACCTGCCCATGACGAGCGAGAAGGGGGAGGCGCCCTGCGGAGAGAGGGCGGAGGCGAAGGCCGGCCATGCGGCGTGGGCCCAGGCGGCCTGCAACAGCCCGGAAAAACATTTCCCCAAAAGCACCTCGTCGCCGTCCTGTGATCGCGTCGCTCCATCCTCGTCCTCCTCCCACCTCTCCTCCTCCTCCTCTTCCACCACCACCTCCTCCTCAACAACACCCGCAAGGACTGCCCTGAGTTTCACCAACCCGCTGCACTCCGACAATTCGGACGAGGAGGGGGACGGAGAGATGTCCGTTGGGAAGGAGGGTAGTCGCACTAACATATCCACGGCAACAGCCGTGGTGACCACGTCGTCTCACCGCGGAGAGCAGCAGCCAGTCCGAAAGGTGTCGCCCATGTCCATCGCGGGGCAGAGCGCTGCAAGTATGTCCATCAGCTGCCTTCATTCAATCTGTCACTCTAGCTTCCTTTAACTTACTGGCTGCTTTCCCGAGTAGGAAAGTCGGTTAAATAGATCAGATTTGAACATTAACATTTGACTATTCTGACTACGGTGAAGGAGTCGAGTTACTTAAGCCGGTAAAGGCACTGAGAGTAAGTCTGCCAACCTGTCTTTATTATCCTCTCACACACACACACACACACACCAAGAGAAACCACACGGCAGAGTCATTTTCTGGGTCAGCAAGGAGACGAGAGGTCTCAGACAAACCACATGCTAACGATAAGTCATGTCTGTGAACACGCGCACACACACACACACACACACACACACACACAGAGAGCTCGGCTTGGCTTTGATAGAGGCACAGCGTCCAAGAAGTAACAAGAAGAGAATGAGTGATGGCAAGATGCATGGCTGTGTGACTAATTGGTTGGTTTGGAACGCTGCAAATGTTAACCGGCAAACATCTGTCACAACACCTCTCCTCTTTCTCTTCCAGCTTGTGTGTGTTTGTCTCAGGCAGCGGATTTTAGAACAGAGACGGAGAGAGAGAGAAAAACAAATCCAAACTTCTGTGTTTTTTCTCACAATGTGTGGGTGTGTGTGTGTGCGTGCACATGTTGGTGAAGGATCGAAACTGCATGAGACTGATGAGCACACGTTGGGTCGGGCTGAGCCGCACGGCGCCGCCTGTACGTCGGTGCGACCACGCTGTTGTGCCCCCGACATGTCGCTTTGATCCTCTGGTGTGCACAGAATGATCGCTCAATTTCAAACTTCCAGATTCTGAAATCTCGCTGTGAGAGACTTCTTGCGTTAATCGGAGCTGACGTGGAGCGGTTGAAGTGGACGTCTGGCTTGCAGCGGTTTGGATCTTGATTTGGATTCAGGGCTGAATGAAGTGAGACCTAACTGCATTTTCTAGTTTTTGGATTTTACTTTGAGGGTGCATGATTTGAATTACATCCAGAATAGATAAATCAATTATCACTTTCAACAGAAACTCTTGTTTGGGCCGACCAGCCTGCTCCAGCAAGTTAAAGAGAAATGGCTGTTTTACCAAAGAGCCTTTAAAACAAACTTTGCTAAATCCGTGAGACAACCCAATGAGATTCACATTACGGATCCCTTTTAATTTCTGGCATCATGCACTCCGCAGTCATTTCCAATATTTAGAATCAACCTGTTGGTCTCACAGTCCTGAAGGGGCCTGGGTCTGCGTTTTGGTCTGCTTGGCTTTCTGGCTCGTCGTCTCCTGGGGCTGCGGGGGGGGGTGGGCGGCGCTTTGAGGTTCGATTGATGACACCGCTGACGGCTGCTGTTTGTGTGGTGGCGAGGATCTAACGGCCGCTTGTTGCCAAGCGGAAGCTGGTGGCTGCTTGATCTGTTTCTAGCGCCAATGAGTCAAACTGAATTAATACGGCACATGTTTATGTGGGTCGGTGCACTGCGGCAAACTAACTAGAAGTACAAACGGGTTACAAGTGGGAAACAATTGCCTGCAAAAAAAAGTCTACCTCTCCTGGCAAAAATTATCCTGGCAAAATCCTTTCAGCAATGAAACAAAAAAATGAAATATGCTTAAAGATGAGATCTAACAATCTGTATTCAATTATCACGTCTAATTCATTTTTTCTGCTATTGGCTTTGCGTACTTCGTGTTTATTTAAATCCACCCCCACCACGGGGCCAGTGACTGACTCTGGGTCAGACAATCAGCCGGAAAAGAGCCACTCCTTTTTGGAGTCCGTAGATTGATTCTGCCATAAAGGAAGGTGAAGAAATGACGACATTTGACTCTGAGGCGAAACCTCTTCAAAGGCAATACCTCGACCCTCCAGAGCTCTGTCCCGCTGCCCTGTTCTGAAAGAACATTTGATTAAGGGCTTGACCTTCCTCAAAAGACCGACCAGACTCTCTGATGGTCGACAATAAGTCATTGATACAAAAGGATTCATAGTTTATAAAATTATACATATATATTCTTTAATTTTAGCTCGACAGTGGAGTAAAAGTGATCCACTCAACAGTTATTATTGTCAGGCTCCATAAAGAATAGCATCACTATCAGCGCCGATACAGTTCTCACTATTTGGCATTTGTAAATCCATTGGCTGGCTCTTGAATGAAGATGAAATGATTGATCGCTCACAAATGATTTAAAAGAAAAGAAAAAGAATTGAGGAGTGAGATGAAATGAAAAGGGAATTTATGTGATTGAAACAGTGCATGCAAAAAGACTGACGCTAACCATGCACATCCAATGGCGCCTACACCTCAAGTGAGGGCATCGTCAGAGGGTAATTTATTGACTCCCATTTATAAAGCCATAATACTAGTGATCAAGCCCCTCAACCGCAAAATGCTATAAACTAGGGAAGTGTTTTGCGAACTAAGGCAAATACCAAGAAATAAGAAAAAAAAGGATAAAATATATTCAGCCTTTTCTGGAAAATTCCATTATAAGCATGAACATATATTGTGATATGGAGTTACCAAAGCAATAAATATGTTATGTTGAGAACAATACATTATTAAACTTACTCAAAGTAGAATATTAAACTTACTCAAAGTAGAATAGTCTATGTGGGTGCTTTTCAAACTTGTTTCAAACTAAATGTTGTTGAAAATAGAATAAAATATAGATAATTGAAAGTAAATGATATATAAAGACACATAATTTACTTATGATTGCTTTACATTGTGAATTATCATCACCCTTTTGGGTTTCTAATAATCTGCTAATATTAGAGGAAAAATTGAGAAAACACAATTTTTCTCAATCGTTTACATTTGAACGCCGATCTCTTTACTTCCTTTTTTTGGGGAGAGTCGTAGACGTTGCTTCTCATTTGACCTCTGACCTTTTTTTAAACCCCAGACTGCTGGGACAGCGACGACTCCCCTCCCCCCCTCCCCAAGAGAACCCCCGAGTCCTTCCTGCTGGCCACAGGTGCGTTTTTTTGCATGGGTTCCCAGGTGTGTTTCCACTGCAGCGGCTTCTCAAAGGAGGCGGACGGACCCGATGGACACACGAGGCTCCGTGACTTGAGACCTGTCGCATTTCTAAACGAATGGCCGGTAGTGTGAGTGAAGCCGTCTGCAGCGGCCGTTGGATGCTCACATGCTGAGCTGTGTGGTTTTTCTCTGCGCCGGCGCCTCGCAATGTTTGATATGGAAGGGCCGCCGTCTCAAGGGAGCCCGTTCCTGCTGTGAGAGGCTTTACCGGTTCCCAACACTAGGGGGCCCCGTTGGCAGTGATTCTTGTAACGCAGCTCTAGAAACACCGGCATGTATTGGCTATACGGTTGCCAATATATTTAACTAATAAAGGCAGTGAAAGGCTGTGTGCGTCGAGGCGGAGCTGTTCATTCTATCTGTGAAACTCACTCTTTCTTTGTGTCGCTCTCTCCGTCAGACCCCCTGGAAGGGAAACCCTCGGCCGAATGGGCCGCTTCACGTAAAGGTACGGATAAACTCAGTTTGTGAAAAGGGGGGGAGAGAGAGAGAGAGGGAAAGAGACAGAGACAGAAAGAGAGGAAAGGAGTAATAAAGAGTGGATGAGCCACCGAAAAGATAAAGCACTGTCTGTCGAGAGGTGAAATGAGAAGTGTGTGCGCGTGCGTGCCGAATCACGCAGTGAGGACTGTGCGACGATGCTAACTGCCACTTTATCGCTCCAGTAGTTCCAGTGTGTCTCTGCGACAGAGACGGAATAATCGGCACAAACCGTTGGACTTGAATGCTGTTATGATTTGTTTTCACTAGCTGTGAATGTAACTCGAGCGTTCATAACGAATACATACATACATAACGGGCTATGCTTGAATTTATGTTGCTGCCGATTGACTGCCTTAAATTGTCATGAACTAAGTTTGTTGAGGAAATGAGTTGAGAGTAGAGCACTTCATTCATCTGCCATTTAGTATTTCCAGTTTTAACTATATTTATCACACAGTACTTCACACCGCTGATATTCACGCTATGCTTCCACCCCGGTTCCTTTGTGTGCAGGCGTGTCGGAGTGCGTTAAGAAGACGTCTCCGACTGATCCTGCATCTGCTGGCACCACAAACAGCAAGGCTGACCTGGGTGGGTAAGTCTGCAGTGTCAGGTCTCTACTTTTCATTCAGAGATATTATTTGCACAAGTGGTTATTTATTCATTAACATGGTCAAAGTTGCTTTCATTGTAATCTGTGGCGTTGCTCTCGCATTATCTCTGGGCGGTTTACGGCTTAAACAAACCCAGCTGAGCCGTTCTTGTCCGTCTCCTGTCAGGGTTCGGTAACCGCTGCATTCAGCCCAAAGGCCCCCGGGAACCCCCTCTGGAGTGGACATAATGGGGACCGTCCATCTGCAGTGTCCTCCCCTGTCGAGAGATCGGACCGTACCATCTCACCTGGCTGGTCCAAAAAAAAGAAAAACCTAGTTGATGGATGCCACGCAGACAGACGGCACACTTTTACCCAGAAACGCCTTCTGTGTAACTCTGTGCGATACCTCCTGCTCCTCCTCGGTCCTTCCTTCAAAGTGACTGTGCAGAGCAGACGAACACTTACTGGTCAAGTGGCATGTCCACGTTTTTCTTGCTCAGCTCGCTGATGCTGTTGGTTTTCTCTTCTCCTGACGCTGGATTCCTGTTAGTGGTTAAAGAATAACTCCTGTTTTCCGGTGAAATTTGCTAAACAAAAACATGCATTTGAATCTCTTGCTTCAGATGTGTCATGTAAATCTGTGAGGCTGAATGAAGAGAGATGTTTAAGATATCTTTTTTTTTTTCATTATAAATCAGGAATTATCTTGAATCAGAAAAGCTACTGTGGGAAGCGGATTGCTGGGGCTTAACTGAACCGCCATCAGGTGTCTGCTTCCTTTCTCTGAACAAACAACAATCAAAAAAACAAAGATAATGTGTTACCCATGATGCAACCTTTTCCGTAGGGTATGTACAAGTCAGGATGCTCCCTCCCTCTGTCTCTGTGCTGGTGCTGCATTACGAAGGACCGGCATGGAGGCAGGAGCCCTAAAGCTGAATGTTAACAACCTTTTAACCGGTTTCCTGTAGGATTTATTCCTGCATTGTCTGCAGCGCCTTCAGCTTCAGACTACTTGATATTTCTACGCTGAGCTCAGTTTACCAGAGACCTAGATTGACGTAGTTTGGTCATTGCGGTAGTCTGCCGGCTCCTTTTTGTTTTTTTAAACGTGCTGTTATCAAAAAGATATTTGGGAAATGAACTGCTATGGGTTTGTTGAGAAGTTCCATCCCACTCTCATGTCTGTATGTGCCACGGGAGCCAGAAGCTGCTTAGCTTAGCATCTGGACTTTTTTTTTTTTTTTTTTTACACTTCAGTTTTTGCACTTATGGAATAAATAACACGCAAAGCATTAGTGGGTGAGCTGTGGCAGTGTGGGTCGCCGGACGTTACGTCTTGGCAAAACCTCGAGGTTTGGTGATGACTGATGCGTCGCGTTCACTATGATTTGCAAAAAGTTGAACCAAAGAGCGATGTTCCCTTCTTAAATTATCATAATACATTTTTTTTTCCTTCCCCCTTCCAGTTTTTTTCTGTTTTCATTCTCCTCCCCTTGATTGATCCACCATGCAGGTCAATTATCTTTGACTTGATTATCTTTATTTTTAGCAGCCGGTTTACTCAGTGTTCCAGAGTAGACTCTTATAGGACTTGACAGATTCATGTAAAGTGTGGTTTCCCGTGACAACAAGTTTTCTTCAAATCGGACTTGTATGGATTTTAATCTTGAGGGCCAAATAAAAATAAAGTCATACTTTATCTGCTTCTGTATGTGTGAAACGATGATAACAGGGACTCAGGACTCCGGTTTCCTCCTCATTCGCCTGCTTCATTAGCGACCATAACTATCCGGTATATGCATTGTTTTATAAAGATGAAGAAAAGTCTGTACAGGGAATTTTCCGTATATATTTCAGATTTATTATCTCCTGGATATTATTATTAACAGAAGCTGTAAGAAAGTCCGTGCATGATGATGATTCCTCCCCTACGCAGCGTTTTCCTTCAATCTGTAAATTATTCCGTTCTGCCGCCCGTTTTAGTTTCTTTGCTTCTGGCAAATATCTGAGGTTTGTTTTCATGCCTTATGTTTGGAGTTCATGCTTAAAAAGATGTAAAATGTAGTTTTAATTGGTTGGCAGGAGTAAAGCGTTGAGTGCCATCCAGCCCCCTTAAAGATAGCTACACCGCGCTTCGAATAAGATTGTAATAATAATATAAATGATGATGATGATGATAATAATGGTCATTTTCTTTTGTAAATGCTATTTTAAAGTTATTTTTGTATACACTGTTTGTTGCGTCTCAAGTCCCACTTCTCTCTTCTCACACTTTTCTCCACCTTTTTCTTTTTTTCAGCTCTTTAATGCAGAATTTGAAATCCGATAGATCCTCCCCACAAACCCTCCCTGCTTTTCTTTTAATTTCAAAAATCGTCGTTTGCAACACGCCTATCTCCGCGCCAACGGATCAGTACACTTGAGAAATCCATCCCTTCCTCTGCGGTGGGTCAAATGAACTAAATACGCTGAATTACACTGTTAAATGGACACACTGAGAAAACCAAACCAGTCTTTGAAAAGATTTTCCAACGGCCCCTTCTCGTACACACTAGCCTCGATCCCGGAGAAAGAGCCCACCTGTGCCTTTAAGTGAGAGCCCGGCCCTCGTCCTCGCTCCTCCAACCACCATCAGCGGCGGGACGTGAACAATGTGATTTGTTCGCTGCTGCTTGCTCAACGCCTACTGTGGGACTCTCCTCTTACCCCCCCCACCCCCCATCTCCCCACCCCTCCCTACACACACACACACACACACACACTCACACGCCTCGTGCCCTTCCTTACACACATAAACACACAAACGTTTGTATGTTGCAGAAATCAATCAGTAAAAATGAACATCAAGTAAAAACACGCCTCTTCGTTTTTGATTTTATGAATTTCAAAGAGTGTGTGTGTGTGTGTGTGTGTGTGTGTGTGTGTGTGTGTGTGTGTGTGTGTGTGAGAGAGTGAATGCAGACCGCTTTTACTTCCAATATAGATCAGACAAAAATTGACTAATCACTTCGACTTGTCTCTGAAGCCACAAGGAATGAAGTCTGATTGCTACGCACGCACGTATAATGTGATGTAAATCATTGTGCGTGTGTCCCATTTGCAGTTACACTACACACACGTAGAGGCACAGCAGGTGGGAAGGCGTGATTTAATTATTCATGTTAAGAAGGTGCTCATTTTATAGTTCATAAATTATAGTTTATTACAATGCAATATTCAATGTGTAATGGAGGGGGGGGGGGGGGGGCAGAGGTGGTTGCTTTGGTAATAGTCTTTAATTAAAAACACCTGCCGCAAACTACAAGTCCTTAGTTATGTTTGAATTAAAGGAATGATATTGACCAACCTTTGCAGTGAGTGAATTTATGTGGATATCCCTTTAATTGATGGTTTGCTCTAATAGTGAGTCATTTTTCAAGAAATACATCCATATGATAAATGTATGACTTTATACTGCTGACATGAATTAAATCGTTATTTAAATAACACTTCACACCCATTGTGGTCAATACAAGTTAACATATTTTGTTGGTGTGAGGAGGGAAACCAGTACTTGTGCTCCACAGGCCTCTCACCGCTCCCGCTGATGATCAAGCCAGGTTGCTATTTCAACTGGGTCACCTCAGTTTTCCCCATGGAGCGGTTCAACACGTTATGCAATGACTTATAAATAGAGCCAATGAGTGTTCAGTGTATGTCTGAGCAGTAGCAGAAGGCTGCACTGCTATCAAAGAACTGAAAAGTGTAGTCTTCTAAAAGCCCAGAATATATTATGTATAATATATATTTTTAGGTGTATGAGTCATATATGCTGCAAGAATATGATGCACAAAATAACTTCCAGATGGTTACTATTCACACAGGCCGCACAATAGCATCCTGCAATAATCTTGTCTCAGTTGTGACTTTACAACCGGCCGCTTGCAGTCGCTCGTCACCTTTAGTATTCACCACTTTTAGTATTCACGTCGTTTGGTGTCACTCACTGACTTGTGGTGAGTCTGAATGAAGAAAATGTTTTATGTCAATATATAAATAAGTGTTAACCGCTCCGGAGGATCCATGGTGATGTGTAAGGAATGATGTGTTGAATTGTGTGAGTGATAATCTCATAGGCTACAGCTCTATAGAAAAAATTAAAGCCCCATTTATCCATTTGATGGGAATATCACAATAAACCCGTGTTCGGTTTTCTAGGGTTGTGTTTTTATTTACGTTGCTTGAAGTCTTGCTCAAAATTGTTCTCAAAAAAACCTTAACGTCACACTGTTAAATCCGTCCTATTGTTTTTCCCTCGATACCTGTCAATCAAGCCCATAGTCAAGCCTAAACCACGCCCCCTTTTCTAACGGCCTGTCAATCATATTAAGCCCGGCCCCTTCACTGCCTCCTTGCTCGTCGCGCTAAAAAAAAAAAAACAGCAGCGGCGGCCGTAGGGGGAAGCGAGTAAACAGAGAGAAGCCTCAAGATGGCTGACTCGCTGGGCTCCGCTCGCCCCGCTGGAGCTGCTACTGCGGGAGCCCCGGCGGTCGCCCCCGCGACCAAAAGCCCGCCGGTCAAGCCGAACGAGGCGACAGGAGCCCCCGACAACCGCTCGCAGGGTTCCCGCGAATTCCACGCACCGCCGCCCAAGAAGGTCCGACTCGTGGAGAGGAGCGTCAAGCCCAAGAAACTGCGCAGGGAAGGCGCAGTGGGAGGCGACGGTAACGGCGGAGAGAGACTCCGGCAGCCCGGGAAGCAGCGGAGTTACGCCTGGAGCTTCGGCCCCGTCACGGCGAGCGGCGGCGGCGGCGGGAGCGGCCCTCCGGTGCCCGCTACCGGGGGATCCCAACCGCCGACCAATAAAGTCTTGAAACGGAGCGATTTCTTCCTCCACAAGGCGCCGTCCTCCTCCTCCGAACCCCGGCAGCCGGGCAAAGACAAACCGCGGGAAAAGGGCAGAGGAGGCGGGGAGGAGAAGAAGAAACATAAAGTGTTGGTGACCTCCGCGCCGGGGAGGAATGTTCGCAACAACAACAACCAAAACGACATCGGCAGGATTAACAACACTTCTGCCGGGAAGAGAGAGAACGGGGACGAGGTGTTGCCACCCAAAGGTGTGTGTTCCTAAAAAAAAAATGTACTTGAAGCGGAGTTGATAAAGTTTGAGTTGTGCGGTTTAAAAAAAAATAGTTTAATTGTTTTAATATCTTAGTTCGCGCGCCAGCTGCTGCGGGCTTGTTGTTACACAGTTGGGTCGTTTCTGCAAAAATAAATAAATAGAAACCACGACTGCGAGGTGGTAAACGGTTCGTTTTTTTTGTGCGGCGTGGAGGTGTGATTTGTGTTATTTCCTCCCGTCGCACGCTGCTGTCATTTCGCTGTGACAGCCGGCCGCCATTAGAGGGTGAGCGTTGTTTTGGTGGCGCGCCACGCCCCCCTCTGTCACCCCGGGGTGTCACCGGTCCGACGGCCCAACAGGCGCGGTTGCGTTCATCGAAACACTCAATTTAAAAAAAAAAAAGCGAATTGTAATTGTAAATTGTAAATATAAATAAATTCTATTGTTAATGTCGTCATATTTGTATTTACGTGTGTGTAGTTGTGGCATCATATACATAGTTTACAATTACAATTACAATACAATTACAAAACACATTCATTTGAATAATAATAACTAATAAGGTCAGATTTGTTTTAGTTTAATTACAATTTACTCAGAGGGTCACACTCTACTAGTTCTGTATGATTGTCTCATCTGCAGGCCTCCACTTTATCTCTTGTATTCTCTACGTCGGTGGCTCATTTTATCATCTGCAAGCCAATAGAGAGTTGGAAAAAAAAATCTATATTTGCTGTGTGTAAACGTTATTCTTGTGCAAGTGTTTGGACACCGGCTGTAGTGAGTCGCACGCCTGTGTGTGTGTGTGTGTCTGTGTGTGCATGATGTCACCCTTTTCCAGTCGGGTAGCTCCAGAGGTCATGACCAGCTTTGAGCGGCCACCGCAGTCGGTGTAGACAGCAGAACAGTGGCTCCATCACATCACCAACACCGTCTCGTGGTGGATGTGCATGCACACCTTCATAGGGGTTTAAACTGAATCGGACACACAAAAGCGGGTATTTGAAAAACAATGTTCATGGTAATTATGCCGTTTCTTTTACCTTTTTTAGCGACCAGAAGTCTAAAAGTCAGTCAGAGTGATTATGTTACGCTTTATGATGTTCATTTTCATAAATGAATATGAATAAAGAACTCAGACGCAGCCTTAAGTAAGAATGTGTAATTCAGCACCACCGAGGTGCCTTTTGAGCGAAATCCCAAACCTGTAATTGCTGCAGCGAGAGAGCGTCACATTTCAAGATGAGAAAATATGTGAATGCGGAGCCCGAGTGGCGCTGCAAGTCACACATTAATCCCGAGTGTGTCGAGGATTAAAAGGCTCCGTTCCGAGCGGCACCTCCCCATTAAAGCCGGTCCCGGTGGATCGATCCTCTTCCTCGACTGGGACAGACCTCGGCATCGGATTAAGGGGATGCTGGGAGGAAATAAAACCAACATCATACGTTCTAATAAAATACCTGAGTCTAAGTACGATGAACAAGGAGACGTTACTGCATTAGGCCGGTTGATCTGGCGGCGGGATAAATAGTTCAACTCAAAGATTAGAGGTTTAATCCCCGCTGAGACACGGAGCTGACCTGTTGTTGGCACCCAATGTATTTACATGCGGTCTGATATTATCGTAACAACCAATCGCTGGTCCCCTGAAGGTTTGCCGCTGACATTTAGACACATTTCTGAGTTCAGATGAACCGGCATGTTTGTAATAGATTACACCGACAGAGTAATATGGCTCTTTAGGTTGTTTTAATTATTGAGTTGTTGTGTTTTTTATAACTAGACCCACTGACCATCAGGAGTATGGTGAGTGTTTCTGGTTTCCCCCCGCGGCCCGGTTTACCGTGGCCTTTAAAAAAACAAAAACAAAACATATTTCCTGTCGTGTGCAACAACACTCCTCAGTGAGGGAACTCACTGCGGCGAGGGCGTGCTGGTTGACGCCTGGCTGCGCGGTGGTTCTCGCGGTGATGACTAATCCCGTCAGAATAAGCTTGTTTCTTTTTGTTCATTGAGATTCACAAAGCATAACGTCATATAATGAAATCAAACGCTCCGAGTGCGATACGATGTTACGTTGACAGTATGAAAGGGCGTTGGAACCCTTTTGGATGATTAATGTTACCGCTGCCATATTTATGGAGATCTTTAATCCGTTCTTTTGATCACGTTACCCTGTTCGGGCTGTCGCGTATCCTAGCATGCATTTGGCCGAGAGCCGGGTCATTTTGCCGACGCGGCGTCTGGGCCACAGCTTCAAACACTGGGCCGTTGCAGGTTCAAACTGGTTAAATGTAATTCATTGTATTAATTGAGTTCATTTTGATAGCTGGGGATTGGAGCGAGACTAAAAGTTCAAAGCCTTTTCTCTCCTGTGATCATCTGAACGGCATTTCCCCTTCAGAGAGACAAAGAAGGAGTGGAGCCCCACCTCTCTTGGATAAGCAGTCTAGAAGATGACTGACTGTCTCTTCTGCCACGCTGCGATAAACATCTCCCCGCTGTCGCCTCGAAAATGAAGAGTTTCTGAATGGTGGGATGAGATGTTTTTAGACCTGGCCATCGATCTGCGTGAGAACCTCCTCCATAGAAAGCTTTGCAGTGGCTCTGAATCAGTGTTTTGAGACGGTCATTTTACGGCATTTGCTCTGCGCCGCTCCTCAAAGTGTCATTTCTTGGCGTTCCTCCATATTAGGCACGAGGTTTGAGGGTAATCACGGCACGCATTTAAAGTAGCGAAGGAAAACAACCTGCTGAAACTCGCCGAGGCTTTTGTTTGAATATAATCATTGAAAAGAGTTTATCGATGGACCCTATTCTCCCCTACTGCTCCTCTTTGAGCCTTTTTTTAAACTTTCAAAGCCTTTGATCCTGCAAACGGCGAATCCAACCATGCTGTGTTCGCTCTCCACTCGTCCACAGGAGAGTGAAGGGTCTGAAGACACAGCTTCCTTTTTAAAGGCGGATCCGGCTGAGTTCAAAGGAAAAAAGTTCTTTGGGAACAAAAAAAAAGAAAGAGAAAAATTGGCCCAAAAAAGAATGGAGGCTTTTTCTTTTTGATGTGCCTATAAGGAAAAATAATGAACCAAAGGAGGAGATGTAAAGAAGATTTCATCAAATGAGCGATATTTTAAGGAAGGTGCAGCTTTCTAATCTCAGCCGGAGGCGGCTGATGATCTACACATGAACATACCTTTCAGTGTGGGTGTAATACATACCTTTTATTTAATGCAGTAATGCAGAGGGATTTGGGGCAAGTGCAACATTGAAGCCCCGTCCAAGTTCCTTTATCTGTGATACTCCCTCAACGCGCAGAGAAACACCGGGAAGGGAAATAAAATGACTTGCATGAGGTTATGTGTGAAAACGCTGAAGTGTTTTAACGTGAATCCTCTCTGCTTCCACAGAGCACTGCGACGGGGAGAAGGTCAAAGGTGGAGACAAAGACCAGGAGAAGAAGAAGAAGCACAAGGCGATAAACGACATCAAGGGGGAGAACGGAGTCAAGCCGCCCATTAAAGGTGGGAGGGAGAGCGCGCGCACACACACACACACACACACGTATTTGGTCAAGACATCATTGTTTTTTTTAATGTTATTTATATGACGTCCCTTAAAGGAGACGTATTATGAAAATTCCACTTTTTTTAGTCCTTCTGCAAGTTAATTTGGCTACCGACCCCAAAACTCTGGAGAAAAACAACTCCCGTGATTGGTTACAATTCATGTACGTCAGAAACGTCATGCTTGACGGACTAAGAATGAGCTTCCTTATCATTCTCTCGTCGCTATGATTTATGAGCATTTAAAGGAACAGGCACTCAAAGCAGGTCACTCTGTGGAGTGCGGTTTTAGACCTAAAGACATAAAGTATCTTAAAGACATTTCAGCAGAGGATCCTTCAAATAAAACCATGGAAAAATCTAACTGCCCAAAAACCTGAGCAGTAATATTGGTCATAAAACGTTTTTTGTATGAAATAACTGGCTGTCGGAGACCAGGAGATCAATAGATCACACACAGGAGCTGTGAAGCTCATCCACTCAGAACTGGCAAATGTGGTTAATTGCTTAATAAAGATATTCGTTTCAGGCCACTTGGGTTATAAATTCGATGAATCATATCATTAGGAGGTCCAAAAAAGAAAGATAAAAGTAGTAGTTGCTACTTTTCCATCCTAACGGTGTAGTTGGTGTTTAAAGTTTTGTGCTACAAAGTTTAATCAATTTTACACTTAATATGAATATTTTTGGCAATGAATCTCCTTTTAAAAGAGTGGGTTGTGTCATATATTTATGGTGTTGACTGTGACCGGACATTCAAACATTTTAATAACTTAAAATTAAAAGATGAGACGCGATGGGAGTCGAGTGAGGGACTGTTCACAATAGAGAGGAAGGTAGCGAAAGAGAAAAAGAGAGAGGGAGCGAAAGAGCTGCTTCTCTCCCTCTTCAGCTGTGTGTTAGTGAGTCCCGCTGTGTGCGATTATTTCATCGGGAAGTCATGCGACCTTAAAAGGTCTGTGACCGTCTTGCACGCCCCCGTGTGTTTGTGTGTTTGCGTGAGCGGGAGATCCCACTTTGTACACACCGGGAGGATGTTTGTTTTTAAATGCCAGATGGGAAAATCATGCGTAATTGTGGACATTTATTTTTCCTGAGACTCCTTTAAGGTCTTGCTGATAATAAACCGTCTTTTTATTTGTCTTTACCAAAAAAAACATAACAAAACATTAAATAGATTGTTGTTGGTTGCAGCCCTACTTTTTATAGCGTAACACACATGATCAGATTATGTCAAATATATTCCGAAGCCACACCAGCTCCCCGCACAGTGGATGTGCGAGCTGTGTGAGTCCTACACAACATAAGTGCGTCACTGTGGAGGCTTTTCTCTGCTGGAAGGTTTTCATTAGCAGCTGCAGGCGCACAGACTCTCTAAATGTGTAAAGAGTCAAGAACACTAAGTAGTTGCTTTATTAAACTTGTACCACGTTGGTATTATTCCTCTTTTAACATGTCTTTATTGTGCGTTTTGGTGTGTGCATGGTAATCTGATCGTGCGCTTTGAATGATATTTTTTTAATATCAGTATTTGAAGCTGTGACACTTTTATCTGTTTATTACATTTCATATCACCGTGACAATATCCAACAAATTAATCTCACTGCTGTGTGTGTGTGTGTGGGGGGGGGGGGGGGGGTTGGGAGGGGTCGCCTGTGTGTTGAAGAGCTTTTTGATTAGTAGCTCAGGTATTGTACTGCAAATACCTCCTTGCCCTCTTTATTGCTCGCTCACTCTCACTCGGGTCTTTTCATTGTCTTTCATTCCCGCCTTATCTGGCGGTGAACGTGTGTATGGTACCAACTAGACTGTGTGTGCGTGTGCGAGCTGGTAGCTGATGTTTGAATTATGCTGAGGCAGCAGCTATCAAAGCGACTCACATGCACTCACATGCAGACTCACTCGTATACTGTAAATGTCTACACGTCCGCTTGTTTACACAACCGCTGCTGGCCAAGAATGAATCAGCTAGCGACACTTTTCCGAAATAGATGTGAACAGCTTAGACACACACAAGCGGTAGCGCTGTGCGTAGATTTGCGCGCTCCGCTCTGTCCCGCCTCGGGCTTCCAGGAGTCGGTCCATCGAGCTGTCTCTGTTCAGATGTGTCACTCCAACGCGTATTTCCTGGCTCATTGATATCCGCTGTTCCCGAGGGATGCCACGTCGGCGCTCTTCGGTTTGCTTTCCGCCCGCTCCCCGGGAGACGCGCGCCATCTGGGAGACGCCACGAGTCGTCTGCCTTCACTAAAATAGTTAGGACTCATTATTTTAGCTTAAATGGGGAATGCTCTAGATCCGGTTTGTTTTGATCACATAAACAAAGTAAAGAACACTGCGTCTCACGGCGTGTCGTTTCTTTTTATTGACTGGGCGGTTACCTGTGCGTCATTGGCGGGTTTCCTTTATTCTCTCCACCTTTATTTAGACGGAAGCTTTTTCTGAGGACTTCTGCGAATGAATGAAAAGGGCTGCGGGTTTGTTTGTTCACACAGCAGACTTTTTGTTTACAAAGCTTGTGACTGACTAAAACTACTTTTTCTTTCCTATCTTTTGTGTTGTGTCTGGTAAGAATGTTTTCTCGTCTAAATATTGCCTCAAGTAATACTGTCCTCTCTCTCGCTCTCTCTCTCTCTCCGTCTCTGTCCAGATGAGAAGGAGAAGGCGAAAATCAACTCCGAGGAGCTGCAAATCAAAAAAGTGAAGAAGAAAAAGAAGAAGAAGCACAAAGAGGGGGAGAAGCACAAACGGGTGAAGATGTACCACCGCTCCAGCCAGACCGTTTGCGCCGGCCTGCTCCTCCTCCCTCCATCCTCTCCGCTTCCCTCGTCCTTCTCCTCCCCTGATCCCTCTCACAACCCCTCTCTGTCTCCCTTCAAGTCGCCTCCCCCGGTCTACCCTCCGCCCAACGACAGAACCCCACACCTCTTCCCTCCCTCCCCTCCTCTCGCCCCCAAACCCCCCGTCGACGCCCCAGACTTCCCGCCGACCTCCGCAAAGACGCCGCACCCTCCCTTCGCCAAGCACAGGCCGCGGTGCGCCGGCCCCGGCGTGGCGGGCCTGGAGTTCGCGCCGTACATCCACATCGAAAAGCAGCCCAACGGAGGAGCCCTGGTGGCCCACGCCTACACGTCCCAGCTGGCCTCGCTCTCCGCCAGCCAGAGGCAGAGGTTCGCCCAGGAGTTTGTCACGCTGGCGTTCAGCGAGGACTCGTCGCAGGTAGGGGCGGACATATCTCTCTGTGTGGGGGGGGGGGGGTTCAGTGTTAATTGTTGTTTGGATTTCATCCTCTTGTGGTTCTTTTAGGCCGCTCATTACGTCATGGGCATCGTCCACGGGGAAGCCGGATACTTGCCGGACTTCTTGGACTACTTCTCGACCAAGTTCCCCTCGGCGCCAGTCAAAATGGAAATACTGGCCAAGAAGGACATAGAAACCACCACCATGGCAAATTTCTACTCCCAGGTCAGTCAGACGTTACCTCTCTCGCACAGACACTCACAGGACTCATGTGACTCCCGCGAGGTCGGTTGAAGGAGAAGACCGGACGGTTGCGTTGCCGAGGCCGTGTGGCGTGTGCGTCAGTCTGTCCCGCATTAAGCAGCACACTGCACTCATACAGATGTCTGATTTCTCCGGGTGAGCGTCAACATGAGGAATGGCGGCGGAGAAGCCGCGTGCCCTTCACTTTAGCGCCGTGTAATCTCCCTGTGCAAAGTATGAGCGATGGTAAGAGAGGAAGTAGAAAGTAAGAGGATGTGGGACGAAAAAAAGACCTGGAAAGTGTTTAATTTTTTGGTTGGAAATTAAGTTCTAATTCGAGAGATGGCCGCTCCGCTCGAGCGTCAAAGCGAAGGGAAAAATCACTTATTTTTCCTTTCTAAAACCAAAGAGCATGCAAGCCTCTTTTTGCTCGTCAGCACGCTACACAACCTTTTTGAGGCCACCGGGAAAAAACAGAAATGTGCGTCTGTGTTTATTGCCGGAGGTGTCCGGATTGTTTGCCTCTTCATTTAGAGCTGCCTCCCGTCTACAGATCACTAATGAAAATCCCTTTGTCGCATGGAACCTCCTGAGTGGCTGCGTATTGAGACACAGCCTGCTCTTTTTCAATATGAGGCCGTGTGTGTGTTTGTGTGTATGTGAGACTACAGGGTGTGGGGGACTGGTTTTATTAAACGTTATTTTGTTAGTTTGACGTCCATGCCAGCTCTCATAGACGTCTGCATGTGACACCCCCCCACCAATGAAGCCTAAATAACGAACGAGACGCATACTTAATTCGTCCTGTGCTGTGCTGTCCCTTTAAGAGTAGTGTTCCTTACAGAGCTCACGTCATCGTCCACTGGTCTTGTTAATCCCCCCCTCCCTCCTCGCTCTCAGCAGTGACCTTGGGAAAAAGGCAAACAGTCTATACACACACACACACACACACACACATACAGATGTGAGTGTGATGTAAACACACCACAGGTACACTGACTCAGATTAACGATCTCTACTCCTTCTCCTCTGCTATTCTCTTTTTTTCCCTGTTGTCCTTCATTTATTTGCTCCGTTGTTTCGTTCTCTGGTCCAGATGCAAACAACCAGACAGCTGCTCTCCGTAATTCTGTGTGTGTGTGTGTGTGTGTGTGTGTGTGTGTGTGTGTGTGTGTGTGTGTGTGCGTGCACGAGGAAAAGAAGAAAAGGATTTGGAAACATTGCAACGGCCTGCAATGTTCTTTGGTCTATTTTACCCGTGCGCTCCCCCTCTTGTAAAGTTTTGCTAGTTCGTGTGCGAGTGAAACAGGCGGCTCGATAATGAGCCGTGTGTCCAGAATCCCAGTCGTTCTGCTTGCAGTTCAGTGCTTTGTATTCAGGACCTGACTCAAGGAATTTTGCTCGCCGGTGCTGAAGATCATAGATTACAGCGCTCTTATTTTCTCGGGGCGAGTACAGTCGATGCGCTTTCCACAGCGAGGTAATTTGTTCTTTCCGGTTTAGTCGCGGAGTAATTATTTTTTAACGACGTCAGATTAAGACGAGGCAACCGAGCAGCCTGCGGTTTTCTTTTTAATTTGATACTAACCTGCGCTCGCACTGTGCTTCTGTTTATGCTCAAAGAGCATCGGCGACATCGGCTTGTGATCCAGCAGACTGACGGCATCTTTAGAGACAAGCAAAGGGAATATGCAATGCAACACATTTATAAAGAAACGTATTACACGCATACATCAAAGTGTTTTGTTATCTAGATCAGTGTTTTTCAACCTTTTTTGCATCAAGGCGCACTTAAGACACAGAAAAAATCTCACGGCACACCAACAACGAAATGATAAATCAATCCCAAACATAGTTTCAGCATGAGCATAATATATTCCAAGAAATCAGGGAAACGCGTGTTCTATTTGTTGTGTTTTATTTATCCTAATGCCAAGATGGCACAGGCTTTATGCCCAGGTACACATCATTTTGGACAGGCTGCATTACCGCCACACACCTGTAGAACAAAAGACATGCAATTAGAACATCAACTGTCATGGTATATGAACATCGTTAAGGAAAATCCAAATGACAGATACTTATCACTGTCTTGACCTCACCGTTTTAGCCTTCTTTTGACACCCACTTGTACTGGGCTCATCATCTGGATCTGGATGAGGTGTGGGGGGATCTTGATCTTTTCACCAATGAAGTGACAGTATGTAAAAAATTATTTTTTTTCCACGGCACACCTGACAGCCTCTCGAGGCACACTGGTGCCGCGGCACACTGGTGTGTCTAGACTGATCTAGATGAGAATTTGTCTTATCAAGGCCCCAAACAGGCACAGCGATATGCAGAGTACTAAGAGGCCGTAATGAGGTCAGAAGGAGCCGAGCGATGTTGTCACATGTGACGCGCGTGTTGACGGGAGGAGGGGAACTCGTTCAGAATTAAACAAGTGGCACCTCCACCGGAGAATGGGAAAGAGAAGCTCCACCTAATAGAGCCCCTAATAGAGATAATGAAGGAGAAGTGGGAAGCAGCCGGGTGGGGAGACAAATTGCTTTTAGCAACTGGAGAAATGACAGATAATTATGTATAATATAATCTTGTGGATTTTCGGACCTTGAAAACCAAATCAGGTGCCGTACATAATTGAAATAAACAATCCGTTTTAATCCTTTTTGTTGACAATACCGCTCGGTTTTCCTTTCAACTTGTTAGTGTGTGTGTGATCAACGCCTTTTGTATTAGTGCAGTGGTGTGTTGCCTTATTTAATGCCTCGGCTCTGATAGCGAGAGACTTTCTAACAAGACGGGAGCTATTTAGCGGTTTAATTACGCGCCGTGTAAACACACGCGGGAAGATGACTGCACACTGGCTGAGAGACAAACACACACACACGCACAACGTTTGAACCCCAGAACTCCTCTAAGAGTGTAGGTCGTTGACTCGGTGAGATCATTTCACGTTGTGATGTGTTACGCATGTGGGGAGTATTTCGAGCCCTTAATCAAGTGAACAAACGCACCACGCAGCTCGGCCCGCTTTGTTTACTTCAATCATAAATTAGATGAAGGTATTTGACATTAGAACAGTTTGCAGGTAAACATGCAGGAGCAATATTGAAACTGATTTGCTCAGTCCAGCTTGTGAATTGTTTGTATTTGAATAAAACGAGCGATCTCTGGATGCCACTTCAGGCTCTGGGAAAATGCATCATTTTTTAAGTATTTTTACTCGGTAAACATTTCATATATTATTTGTCAAATGGAGTGAAAATAGTTTGTGCCCCCACCTAGTATAAAAAAACGGTACATTTTCTGACGCGTATTTTTCACAGAAAAATGTCTCAGCTGGTATCTTATATTTAAAATCTATATATCAGTAATGTTTGTTTACATTATGTGAATAGTTATCTACTAATTATCCAGCCTGTATAAATAACCACGGTACTGGACCAATAACAATCCCTTATTAAGTAACAACCTCGCTAACACACACACACTATGAGCTGCAGTCCTGCATGATCGGCCTCTGAGCAGCTGTTGTGGCAGTCGGAGTCTTGTTCAAAGACTCCGAGCACCTTCACCTTTTTTAGTCTTTTTCCAATTCCAAAACGTTTCCATCTTCATTTCACCTCCTCCCATCCCATCTGACCTGCCCTCTTCTCTCTCTGGCTTATTCTCCCTCCTTTTTGTCTGACTTTATCGTATCTGATGTCTCCTACGCTGTTCTCCTCTTTCCAACCTATTTATTTCTCCTGCACTTTTATATTCCCAAAAAGTGTTATCTTCATTTACACCTGCTTGCCCCCTCGTGCTCCACATGAGTTATTCCCACCATCCCCCCTGTGCCTTTTCACGCTTTCCGTCTTCACAGCTGGACCTTCCGTAACTTTCTCTCAGAGCTTCCCTCCATCTGTCCCCCATTCCTTCTCTCCAGTCTATCCCCCGCCTCCCCCCCTCCTATCTCTCTCGCTCTCTCTTGCGCGCCTTCTTTATGCCTTGCTGTCAAGTGGTGACTCACTAGAGGCGTGCAGCCAAGGACACACACACACACACGCGCACAGACACACGCTGGTCAGCCAAGAGTACAGCATGCAGGCCACATGCTGCACGTACTGCGCACACATAGACACACAAAGACGCTGTTGAGATCCAAGGGTATGCAACACACACACACACACACACACACACACTCTCTGCTCCATCAGCCAAGTGAAGAGCACTTCTGTCTGTCGAGTCATGCCAGCGGAGCACAAACATCAAGTGAAACCACACACACTCTTTTACACTCCGTAGTGATTAACAGTTTGTGTCGAATTTTATTTTTTAATCCAGTGGAATTTTTTCCACAAGTTTATTTGAATTTTAGCCATTTATATGATAAACTGTTATATACTGTGACAAGTTTGTCGATTTTATGTCATAAATACTATAATGTGAATACAAGAGTCATCCTCCTTAGTTGGACCAATAAATGTATATCTCAAACATGGCCACGTTGGACGGTAGTTCCAAACCAGCCAATCTGACTAGCGAGCCTGAAAGAAGACAACGATTTTGCCTCACCAAACATGTTGTTTTTTTCCCTTCTTAAAAGCTGATTCCGGGGCTAAATAACCACAATGCAAAGGAAAGTGTATTCCTGCCTCTGAGGTAAAGTAGCGGCCCCATGTCGTCTAACGCTGCGTTTCTCGTACGGTTGCCGCAGGTGAAGCGGACGTACAGCAACGGAACATACAGAGCCGGAGCCATGAGGCAGATCAGCCTGGTTGGAGCCGTGGACGAGGAGGTCGGCGATTATTTCCCAGAATTCCTCGGCATGCTGGAGGAGTCGCCCTTCCTGAAGGTGAGTCGGGACGCCGTGAACGCCATTGACTGGCTACAAAGCGGCCGGGGGGGGAGTAGAGAGGTGGGGGTGGAGGGGCCCTGGGGCTGCTGAGGTTTAAACTGGGCCGAATGGACGGCAAAAGAGGAGCCGGTGAGTCGTCAGGCATGTCAGTGATTTAGAAGCTGATCTCCCTGCAATGCAGGAGTTACAAGCCTTTCTTCTCTTTGGCTTCCGTGTTGACACTCCTAATGCATGTGCATATCAAGAGGCTCTCACCCCTGGGGGGGCTTTCTGCTCTGAAGCAGCTCCGGTGCAAGTGACATTTTTTGCCGGGGGGGGCCAATTTCCGTGCATACTTTTCTTTTGGGAGGAATAAATAGAACACTTGAGTTGCTAAATGACAAAGTGAGGGATGCACTAACTGCTTTCATTATTTATTCCCTCCCTTTCATCTCCTCTGCCGTGTCTGCAGCGGACTCTTCCGTGGGGCACCTTCTCCAGTCTGAGGCAGATGCGTCCCACGGAGAGCGACGACGGGCCCATCTTGTGGGTCCGACCGGGAGAACAGATGATACCTGTGGCCGATATACCAAAGTCCCCTTTTAAGAGAAGACGGTGAGTCCAAAAAACGCACACATGCACACTGGGCCGGACGCGTTTGATCCTCTCTAAGCCGCCGCGTCGAGACGGAATTAGCAGGGATATTGGTCTGAGTGAACGTCAGCGCCGGCTACACATCCCTGGTATTTGTTTGTTTACCTTTTTTTTTTTTTTTTACACAACCGCTCAGCCCACGAGGACTGATTATGGAAAACGGGAACAGAGCACACTCGCGAATCTCAAAGCAAACAGCCGCGATGGCAGTGTGGAGCTTTGTTGTAGCGGGCTGAGGCAATTACATGCCGCGTGTTTGTGTCGCTGCTGCTCACACGTAAGCTCCGTCTCACACGCACAAGGGGTGTCTAAACGAGGCCATTAAAGAGAATTTGTATGCGAGACCTACTTGGAAGAATTTTTGGAGAAGAGGGCGTGATGCAGCGAGACCTTGTGTTGTGTTGCAGGAAAGCTGCTTATGTGACGTTGTGGGAACATCTTTGTCTCTCTTGGTGCTTTTTCATGGTATCGGACGGTGAAAAAACAAACCAGCAGATTTCAGCTCGCAGTGAAACGGCGCCGCGCAGCAGCGACCTGCTCCTGTCCAGCTTTTAATGTATGTTTTTTGTTGGAAAAACATTCTGGTTCCCCCCCAAATATATTTTAGGACCTTTTTAAATATAGTTTATTCCCTCCAACGACCTTTGAAAAGGCATTTGTATGTTACACTGGTGGTTTTCTTTTTTACATTCACCCGCAGAAGAACCAACGTAAGCCTTACCAACATGATCTTGTGATCACACAAAAACGGTTTGTAGGCCAATCACAATCCAGTGTGTAACCTAAAAGGTGTGATGTCACATGTGTGGCACGACGTACGACCTTTCCAGGGGTTTGTTGTGGACTTTTAACGGTGTTTATGTCAGGGAGCATTTTCCCCTCAGTTTCTCCTTTTTACCGCCCTGAACCATGGCCTCCCCACCTCCCCCCCTGCCTCCATTCCTGCATCACCTTTCCTTACCCCCCCCCCCACTTTATTGGCCCATAAATGCACATCTCGGGGACTTGGTGCAGAGACGGATTGGCGTCACTCACACACACGTACTGTGCCGAAACCACAGGACCTCGAATGTGGAGGAGGGAGATTGTGGCGTTAAATACCGCTCTGAATGTGCACGCTCAGCACTCCTCCCTTTACCCTCTCTTCTTTTCCCCGTTTCACTTACCAGCTTTCCTGGTTTTACATGCATTACTGTCAGCCTGCAGTCAGCTCAAACACACTGAGCTCCATTCGTCTGTACGGTTTCTTCTGCTTCCTCTTCCACCAATTCCTTCCCCTCTGCTTTTTTCTCTGAATGCACAATTTAAGTGTTCCACATGGGTAGCGTAGCTGCTGTTCTGTTCAGAGAGAGACTTTGAAAGTGTGTGTGTGTGTGTGTGTGTGTGTGTGTGTGTGTGTGTGTGTGTGTGTGTGTGTGTGTGTGTGTGTGTGTGTGTGTGTGTGTGTGTGTGTGTGTGTGTGTGTGTGTACGTACACTTGTCTGAATCTGGCTGTGGCTCCAGTGTGAGTCACTGATCCAGTAGTGAGCTGACTGCAGTGCTTCTATTGTTCGACGACAGAGCTTTTTTTTATGCTTCTACTCTCAGCTTCTCAGTCTGTAGGCAAGAAGAAAAACGCTGTTGTGTTCCAGCAGTTTACTTTGTTATTGAAAAGGCAGCTTACTTTCATGACATAAGCAGTGAAGCAGCCGATGAGGTTTGATGTAATCTAGTTACACTTGATCGATTATAAAACTGAGATTAATCATCAGTTACTTTTTAAAATTTATTTGAATCATTTTATGTGAAATAAAGCCATTTTATTTTTGCCGCGGCAGACCACCTTGAGTCATTCTTATTCTTTATTTACACGGCAGTAAACAGAGACGGGGGAACTCTCGTCGTAGAACTGTGTTTTTTACTTTCTTGATTGTTTTCTTTTCACTCTCAGCTCAACCAATGAGGTGAAGAACCTGCTGCAGTCGCTGCCCCGGGCCAGCGAGCCCAGGGAGATGCTGTTTGAGGACCGCACTCGGGCCCACGCCGACCACATCGGTCAGGGCTTCGAGCGGCAGACCACGGCGGCGGTGGGGGTGCTGAAGGCCGTCCGGGCCGGAGAAAGGTAGGCGGGGGAGCTGCTTGTGGGACCAAGGTAGCAGAGTGGAAGGACACACCGTCACTCATTATTTACACTGCTTACTCGCTGTGTAATCCTTCTTATTCCTCCCCCCTCACTCGCTCTCAGCTCGGCGCCCCCTCGCGTGACCAAAGACGTTGTGTGTTTCCATGCCGGAGATTTCCCTCACGTGGTGCAGAGGCTGCAGTTGGACCTTTACGAACCGCCGCTCTCTCAGGTCTCCACATGGCACACAAACACACACAGAGGGACTCTAAGAATACTGTGAGGTTAAAAGAGTCAGCACATGCTGCCACATGGTGGCGCAAAGTGGAACTGCAGTCACTTCGAGAACTTTGTCTAGAGTGGAGAAATTTAATGCAATTTGTAAGGGTTCAGAAACTCTTTATATGGTTCAAAATGTTGAATTTACTTTTCTAAACCGGGAAGAAGCAACCTTTTTATATTCTTATAACAATTTTTAGAATGCATGTCGGGGTCAAAATATGGAGCCTTCGGTTTGGAGAAAGCATCTTAATCCACGCCCGCCCCCCCCACCACTCCCTCCCTCTCTCTCTTTACAGTGTGTGCAGTGGGTGGATGACGCCAAACTGAACCAGATGCGTCGCGAGGGAATCCACTACGCCCGCATCCGCCTGTGCCACAATGACGTCTATTTCATCCCTCGCAACGTGGTCCACCAGTTCAAGACCGTGTCGTCTGTCTGCAGCCTGGCGTGGCACGTCCGCTTAAGACAATACCACGGGGGAGCGGAGCAGGGGGAGGGGGTGAAGGAGGAGGAGGAGGAGGTGAAGGAAGAGGAGGAGGAGGAGGAGGAGGAGGAGGAGCAGCATATTGAGCTGAAGGAGGAGAGGAGAAAAGGGAAGAGCGAGAAAGGAGTGAAGGAGAGGAGGAGGAGTGAGGAGGTTGACGTGGCAGAAAACAGGACGTTGCTGGCTGTCAAAAAGGAGGAGCGCGCTCATCATCCAACTTTCTTCTCTCCGCCCGCTCTCCCAGTGGACTCGAGTAAGGGCGGTGCTAGGGACAAAGGGAGGGAGAGGGAGAGGTTGAAAGAAGGAGGAAAACCCAAACGGCAGGGTTCACCTCTGGCAAAGGTGAAAGCAGAACGGCCACCGCTTCCGCTCCCCAAGGACGAATCGCCTTCATCCCTCCCTCCTCCTCCGCCTCACAACCCAAAGCCCAAAGCGGCATCATCAAAGGACCTCCACCAGCAGCACCATCCGGGCGGTAGAGTGACGTCTTCCAGTGCACGGCTTCCTCTTCAGCTCCTAAATGGCCGCTCTCCAAGTCTCCCTCCTCCACCTCGTCGCCGTCAGCCGCCGCCGCTCCTCCGCGCTCCACCTCAGCTGCTGCTGATCCCTCCTCCGCCTCTCCTTCGCCTTCCGCCGCGCCCCCCCCGAACGCTCCTAAGCATCCGGCAGACTCTCGTTTCTCCGCGCCGCATCCCCCCAGCGCGAGGGACTCGCCTGGCGAGAACCCGGGTGTCCGAGGACACGCCTTTGCGCGGACGCACGCGCCGGCCGACTTATGGACACAAGCGCTTCACGAGCGGTGGAGTCGCGCCGTGGACTCGCGCGACGCCGCCAGGCAAGGGGGCTACATGCAGCAGTATGCGCCCCAGCACATCCCGCCCCCGTGCCTCCCTCACCTGCTCCCCCCTTCCTTCCCGCCTCTCCTGCCGCACTCCCATCTTCCTCACGGGCCGTCGATCCTCGCACCCGGCCCGCCGCCGGCTCGACCTCTGAACTCGTACGGCGGCGCGCAGACTCAGCCATACTACCAGGCGAGCGAGCCCCTCCCTCCCCACCTCCCGGCGCACCACAGTTTGTCCCGCACGGGCAACACTTTTTTCCCCCTCAGCATCCCCCACTTGCCCCTCCGTCGCCTCACCACTTCCTCCCCCCTCAGTCTTTCCTCTCGCAGCCCCCCGGCCCTTACCCGCTGCAACCGCAGTACCAGCCCGAGCCTTTCCCTTACCCGCCGCCCCCTCCTTCCTCCTCGCCGCCCCCCCTCCCGCCTCCTTCCCTCCCGCCCCCTCTCCCCCCTCAGCCTTCCCCTCCGGTCCCCCCCCCTCCCTTAAACCACAAGGAGGAGCAGGATCTGATTTTTTAGAAGTTTTTTGTATATATTGATGCGGTTTTCAAATGACTACATGTAGAAGGTTTTATTTTGGTCATGATGTTGTAAAATTATGTAAAAAGGAAGTAACCACCGTTGTTTATAGAGCAGAGTCGGACTTCATTCACCTCAGACCTCTGGACTGAATTTTATATTGAACTGAACGCTTTGTGGGTCAGAAATATTGGCAGCCGTTGCATTAATTGGCAGTTTTTAATTTCCGCCCGTGTGGCTTTGAAGACGATGACGTTCAATGAGCGTCCTGCTCCAAACCGCTGTCTGGTTCAGCTTTTCGAAGAGGGTTTTCAGAGGTAGGAAGGAACAAAGTAATTATTTTATCAGATATTTATATAGAAAAGGCTCATGATGAGAACCTTTTTGTGAAACTTGCAGCTAACGCTTCCATTTCAGTGGCTTTTTTTTTTCTAGCGTATACTTTGTTCCCGAGACTGTGTAATAATGATGAGAGATTGTAATATTATACAACACAATTTTGTATTGATGTAATTATTACAATTACTACATTTCCTCTACTATACATTCGAGAAAAACCTTAAATAACACAGTATATCGCAGTATGTTTCCATGATATTGTATTTTGAGCAATAATGCTCCCGCAATAATCTGCTGAATATAAATATCCCCAAATCAGTATTTTTATTATAATTATTTTATTATAGTTATTGATAAAACCCCATTGAATCATGCTTTTTTAAATTTATTTTTTATAATCACTCCCAATGTGTTATTTCCCCCTACTCTTCTCATGTCATGAGATGTACTCTCATGATTGTATGGTGAGTTTAAATTCAGAGTCTCAGGGAAAATAAATCTCTTTCAGGACACATCCACGAATATATAAGTCTCCTGAAAACTATCCTGAATCTTTGTTACCTTTAAGGTTAACGTCCAGGGTCAAATATTCAATCTGCAGCATTAAGTTATTACGCATATGCAGCTGACTCGGCGTAGCTCCCTGTAAAAAAAGAAAACCCTGGATATATCCACTGCCGTTTGAATGCAGTCCATATCATTGAAGATAAATTATGTCCGATGATCAATGGGGCGATTACCGGATCTCTTAAGAACGTTGTGTTGATCAGTCAGGCCTCAGTCCTCTTTGACGAACGGCTTTGTACACAGAAGTACACCGTCGAGACCCCCCCCCCACCCCCCAAAAGACTATTTTATCTATTTAATTGATGCGCAGTTCTGTCTGTTTATTACATTTTATTTATCAGCCAGGGACTGGAGTGACCTTGTGTTTTAAAAGGTAGAATAAATTATTGAAATTCCACTTCAGTGACAACTATGAATATGTTCTTCAGAGTGGTGAATGTGTAATTGTCACATCTCTCCCACTTTGACGTTTTGATTTTGCGATCACCGCTTAAGTGCAGCCCGCCTGCGGATGTAGCCCTCAGCGTTTTTCCCCAGTGCCTGTCCTCAACTGTGAACTACTAAGTGGTCCCACGACGTCCGTCACGGGAGCTTTAGGAGTCCCGAGTCAAAGTTTTCTGTAGAAAATTAGAGCAAAGCCTTAAATTGGTTTCCAAAGCTGCTGAAAACTCTCTGCGGCGTGAGTCAGGTGAGGTCAAACTCGTGTCTCGGCATCTCTGAGGACGACACATCAAGTGTCACACACACTTTGTGTCTCTAAAGTTTGACTCTTTTAAACTTAATTTCGGGGACTGAACTCTTCACCTTGTGGCTTTGAGGAGAGCGAGTTGATGTTAAGCACTCGATGCCGGTTGTAAGGCGCTCTGCAGCTCTTTTTATGCTTTTCGTTTTCAGATGTTACAAAAGGAGAAAACCTGAATCTGAAAAACTCTTACTTCTATATTTTTTTGTAAAAATGTGGGAAAGTGATAGTTGGATGGTGGATGGCGTTGTTTTCAGAGTTTATTTTATTTATTTACCATTTTTATTTCATTTCTGTGGTTTTTAACTGTCAGCACTGGAGTGTACATACAATGTTTTGTAAAGAGGAAAAAACTTGTAGTGTGGTTTCTACTTTCAATACGAGCCTAGCTAATAAAAGGTTCATTATATGGAAAATGTTGTGGTACGACTGGATGCTTTCTGGTCTGGTAGTCGAAGAAAGACATTTGTAGGAATGTTTTTTTTTTTATAAAGTCGTCGTGCACGTGAAAATCATTTTCTCCAAACACGGCACAATAACGTGTGTGTGTGTGTGTGTGTGTGTGTGTGTGTGTGTGTGTGTGTGTGTGTGTGTGTGTGTGTGTGTGTGTGTGTGTGTGTGTGTGTGTGTGTGTGTGTGTGAGAGTCAGTCAGTCAGTCAGTCAGTCAGTCAGTCAGTCAGTCAGTCAGTCAGTCAGTCAGTCAGTCAGTCAGTCAGTCAGTCACTACGATTCAAAATGGCTTCCCTCCTCCTCTACTTGGCCCTTTTGGCGGCTCTCACACAGCAGGAATTCCAGCAGAGCTCAGCTGACCTTCAGAGTGGGAGTGAGGCAGGAAGTTCAGGGAGGAGAGTTTGGGAGCGAAGACTTTGAAATATCTTCACACACAGAGGCCGTCACACAGAAACCGCTCATCAATAGCGAAGCTGTGAAATGAATGTGGTCTTAGCTAAAAGTCCTCCCCGCAAAACACTTAATCCGGGAAGTATTGAGATCCTCCACGAGTCAAAGTGCCAATTTAAAATCTATGAAAATACTCTTGCAGTAAAATTCCTAAAAGTCAAAAGCGACCATTTCAACTGACTGTTGATGTTTAAATGTGTAAGCTGGCACTAAAATAGTTTGGATTCACACATACATTTATTTCAAGAAATATACTTCTTCTTTTAATTTTTGCTAAAGATTTAAATTGGCAGCAGCCCGTTGATTTCCAACAGCAGCCGGCATGCTAACGTAGATGCACGTAAAGATTAAAAACAACCAGCTGCAGCACGCTGCATTTTGCCGCCATGCTTTATTTAAAGATGAAACATTAATGGAAACCACTTCAGTGAGCGGACTCTGTCCATGTCCCAGATCGTTTAGTGTCCTTTGCTCGATCTAGTTCGTCCTTCTCAGTATGGAAATACTTGAATGTGAATCCGTCTGACTGCTTGAGACAACTACCCACAGTTCAACATACTGAATCCATTTATTTTTTTACAAGACGTACATTAACACTTTCCATCTCAAATCACCTTTTTTGTAAAACAGTGCAAAAACAATGCCAAGAATGCATTTGAGATACTGGCACAAAACAAATGTTACTCATGCACCATGTCAGCCGTACCATAGTCATAATATGAAAGGATAATAAGATTAGAAACTGCACATTAAAGGATTCTGATGCACGTTTAAACACCAATGATTAAACGTAATATACAGAAGGAACATGGTCTTTGTCGTGATGCATGTAAAGACATTTTTCCTAGTAATCTTGTACCAATAGTTGTAACAGCGGCGTTATTTTTCATGTAGCGCATGATTATATTCATAGTACAAGAGAGCCCTTGTACAGAGCATGACGGGCCGCCTGTGGAGAAATCCTAAGTTGTCCCAAGATGCTTTATGCCGTAAACAATTTCATAAATGACCTAAATGAAGCAATTTCCTTCTGCGGCCGCAATTCTCAAGTTAATTTATAACTTAAAAATTAAATAATAAAAAATATAATATATGCCCAACTTATGTCCGCAGTTGAGGAATGAAGCATGTTTGCTGGCTTACATACAGTGAAAATAAACACTAGCAAACATTATGAAACATCTTTAAAAAGAAATGCACACAGAGGATCTTATTATTTTGTCCAGTGTTTGATTCACAGTAGTCTTCTACATTTACAGTTTATCCCCCTATGGCAATTGTTTTTTACAAAGACAATACTGCCATTGTATTCCTTTTTTGTTGCCATTTTAAAGACATTCAAACGAATGGACCGACAGCGGACTCTCTGAAGCTGAATCGCTCCACCGAGGCCTGACCACCCTAGCAGTTCTATTCCTACACAAAGTCTCTCATTCTAAAGACGAACACTGCCGTCTGCAACAACGACTTGATTCCCTCTCCGAGCCTCCGTCCTTTCCCGAAAAACATAATGATAACGTAATCATCCGACCTCCTCAGGCCTCCCTCCTTTCAGGGAAGATATTCATCCCCAGCTCCACCAGCGCTCCCAGCAGCACGGTCCACAGGGGAATGCACACAAACGTCAGCTTTACGTCCGCCAGCTTCTCCAGCTTGGCGCACAGCGTCAGGAAGAAGCCCAGCTTGAGCAGCATGGCCGTCAGGTACCAGCCGCGCAGACGCAGGTCCGGGGAGCCGTTGCGCGGGTCATACCCGGGCTTGCAGCGGCCGGCCATCTTGATGGCAAGCATGAGAATGAGGATGCCGTCAAATACCCAGACCGGGAGGAAGATGAGGAACCAGTTCCACTGCACCTGGATGGGGGGGGAAGGTGTTTATTTTGCCATTTGTATCAGCGCGGATGATTTACTTTTTTGCTTGGGTGACAGGATATGAATCTTCTAAGGAAAAATGGGATTGATCGCAAACAAAAGGATTTAAATTCATCCATTGACCATCTTGATTTAAAGCAAAAAATGTTAAACATATTGGGGTGAAGAGAGAAAAACGTGTACCTTTCCGTCCATCTTCAGAACTAACATGATGAGGAAGACCAGGGTGAAGACCCAGGTCAACAAAACCCTCTGAGCCAGAGACATCGCCCTGACTGGAGACACGTCAGAGGAAGAGACAGACATCCATGAGACGGAGGCAGAGGCGGTGAGAAACATTTAGACATCCCATTATGATGCATGTTATGAGTGACAACACGGCCACGTCGGAATAACTGCTTTCAGCTTTTTAAAACGTGGTGACACTTCCGACAACACGGTCGAGTGTCTATTTTAAATCAATTACTTACAGTTAGCTGATGTTATGACAGCTAGCTTTTGTAGCTCAATAGCATTAAGCTAACAGGCGGGTGTTTTACGTAAGACAACGTCTGACTTACTTCAACGTCTTTCTACATCAGTGGCCGGCAGTTTCGTCTCCCTGTGTGGATAAAGTTACACCGAAACCCGGCGATTTTGGATCATTCACATGGTCATCAATCGGAGCGTCTGGAGATTTTAGGAGTCCGTTATCTGCGGCCGCTCATCCTGGCGGCCAATAGGCCCGTGGTTTGGTGACGTCACGTGTCTAACCGTAACACGTTTGTAAACGCGCAAGTGAGTTGTCGTTTCTCCTGTAGTGTGTTTTAAAGTCCACCAGAGGTAGGTAAAGTTCTATCTACCCCTCACAGGCTGTGTGACTCCACATGAGAATACGAAATTACGCTCTGATTTTTTATTTATTTATTTGTTCAATGTGTGTATAAGTGTGTGACACGTGAGCCCATTTTTTGTTTCCTTTTTTCACACACTGACATTTAGCCACTCAAATTATATGGCGCATTTACACGGTGAATTACGGTCCGGGACTGAAGTTGTGTGTGGGTGTGTGTGTGTGTGTGTGTGTTTTCTGCGGTGAGAGGCTGAAAGGGAAAAGCTAGCTCCTCACACATCGGCGAGCGGACGCTGGGCATCTCCTCCAGACAAGCAGGACCCGGCTGGGCTCCCTCACGAAAGCCCACTTCGTATCTGTGCGCGCGGGGGGAGGAGAAGGAGGAAGAACTCGCAATCTTCCGTCCGTCGTGGTTGAAGGAAGGTGAAACCTCAGCGGCTGCGTGCAGAGGATTGATCGGGCTCCTGCGTGTGCGGGCTCTTTGTGCCTCGCCGGGTAACTTTTTATTTTTTTACCGCTAGCTTGATGTGGTGCTAGTGGGACCCGAGCTAGCATCGCAAAGGAGCGCAAGGCCGTGGGAGGTGAACCGCGCAGGGTGTCCGGTAATACCGTGTGTGCATCCAAGCGGATGCTAGCTAGCACGTTTAGCTGCCTTTAAAAAAGAAAAGATGAATAGCAGTGCTCGGGTTGTTTTCTTTCCAGGGGGAAAAACACCCCAATTAACGTTAATTCACCACCGAAACTAACCCAGCTATTTGATTTAACCTTAAACGCATCGTTACTGTTGTCCTCATCCTTCTTCTACTTATCTCCGAATGTCTCATTCAGCAGCAACACACCATTATTTTCCATCACAGGGTTTTGCAGTTGCGTTTTAATGGCGGAGGTGGGCGCAGCTCGCCTAAAATCTTTACCTTCCAAGCTAATCAATTATTTACAAAACCGTTGACGGCGGGATCGTGAATGTCTCCGGTGTAAACCGTATTCAGACGACCTCCACGTCTACTCGGCCTGTGCTTTTTGGACCGAACCCTCGTGTTCTATTTGTGGCACCGGAGGCCGGTTTCCTCCCCTTATCTCCGGCTGCGAGGGGAAACTTCAGCAGGCGGTCGTGCTCACAGCTTGGCAGGTCGTCCGATTATCCGACATGATTTTCCATTGCAATGACAATTGGACCCCCCAAATAGACCCTCCCCTACTGTGCCTGTGCTCCCTTGTTGTTGACCTGCAGAAGAGCCAGGAAACAGCATTACACCCTTTTTTTAATAAACAGATTGTTTGTTTTTGTTTCTGAATAATGTTCTCAAAGATTGATGCAAGTAGAAACAACCATGCACATGTTTGCACATGTTGAAAGAAACTACGCTTGGATCGTAGCCAACGGTGCAATGCATCTCTTGGTGTCACCTGCAGAGCAGCGTTGTGTAATCATTATATTTTACAGTAATGATTACTTGGATACTACTTGGATCACGTTTAAAAAACAAACACTGCTTTGTTGCAATGAAGCACACTTCCTGTTTGTTCCAAGCCGCTTGGTTTCTCGGGACATTCATTCAGAAACGTGTGTTTCACGTGCACCAACCGCCAAGTGAAATTCCTTGTATGTCCAACATATTATGGTAATGAATGTCTCCTGATTCCTGATCAGAGGGGGGCCTCCGTCAGGTGTGTTACCGGCCCCCGAGGTATCTCTCTGTTGTCGTTCGGCAGGAAACCGTTCAAAAGCGGGTGGTGTTCTTGTGACTCGTCGATAGATAAGAGATGAAGCGATGGAATCAGAGCTGCAGCTGCCTTGTATGTGGACAAGACCAGCTTTGTGTTGCATCCAGAGTGTTTCTTTACAGACCGAGCACCTGCTTGTGCGCGCGTACACACACACACACACGCGCATGCATGCATTATGAATGGACTATATAGCCTTTGATACTGATAAGAGAATCCTTTTATTAGCCCCGCGGCGGGGAAACTCACAAGATTACAACAGCAAAGTGCAAACTGACGTAGTGCCTGAAATAAGATCACAAACTACTATAAATAAACGGTAATAAAATAAATTAAGAATCCACAGAGTTATATTTAACCGGTTTGAGGTGATTGACAGTCCACCGCTTGTCAGTCAACGTAGCAGTTCTGCTGTGTGTGTGTGTGTGTGTGTGTGTGTGTGTGTGTGTGTGTGTGTGTGTGTGTGTGTGTGTGTGTGTGTGTGTGTGTGTGTGTGTGTGTGTGTGTGTGTGTGTGTGTGTGTGTGTGTGTGTGTGTGTGTGTGTGTGCGCGTGTGTGCGCGCGCTTTATCATCCGTAGACCCAGACTGACAGTCTATTGTCGGACCAGAGTGTTCCTTTGTATTTCTTTGTGTCCTTTGTTCTCCCGGCCCTTTCCTCCTCTCTCCCGCTGTCTCTTTTCCTTATTCGCTCTGTCTCTCTCTCCCTCTGCCCCGTCTCTTTTGAGGATGCTGTTTTTATTGTGAGGCTTCAATCTGCCTGCGGAGCCGGTTGCATCATTGGCTGCAATGCGGTTGCATCACAGCGGGGCTGCCATAATCATCTTAAATTACAGAGCCCAGAGATATAATTGATGGAAAATATAGCCGTGTCGGTGTAGGGTTACGTCCATTGAAAGCAAGCGTCTCCTCGCAGCATATTTGAAAAAAATATGTAGCATCTGCCCCTTTCCCTCTGCGTGACTTTAGGCGGCCATTGTGCGAGTGCTTGATGCAGTAACCTTTTGTTATTGACTCTGTGAATTTGAGCTGCACACATCAATTTTGAACTGAAGGAGAGTCACGCTGGGCCCCCGAGGGATATGTTTAAGATACAGATGCCTTTTATAGGACCAGCATGAGTAAACGAGGCCATCGGCCATTCGTGTGTATCGAGTCTGGATGCGCTGCTTCTTTGTCGCCTGGTCGGATTCTACGCCTTCATTTCGTATAGTTTATGGTTGAGTGTGACCTGGAGTCACAGTACCTCCCTCGGTAGTCCGGCGTAACCAGGATGCGTCAAGGGTGATGGGTGACGACAAAGGTGACGTTTTGGTGCTGATGATGGTTGTTTTTGTGACTATACTCATAAGCTACGTAGTTAGAAAAGACAAACTAGTCTTAGCAGTCTGATGTTATCCACCACTGTTTTGTCCCAGTAAGAGACGCATGCTATTTTGATCCTTCACTGGAACCTCATCTTGTCTTTCAAGGTCAAAGCCCAATTACACACACACACATACACACACACACTGGAAATCCCTTTTCAAACCGGATTAGGTTTTAACTTGACCAAATGTTTTCATCGGTGTACAAAATCCTCCGACGCACGTACTGTTGTTTTGAATCTCAACCGGGAATTTTGTCAGAACCCAGAAAGTCTTAACTGACTCTTTCTCCCTTTTTCCAATTGTCCAGCTCCTGTCCTAATTTTTCCGCAAGGACCAAACGGCAGTCAGCGACGCAACCCCACAAGAGGTAAGTCCAGTGTGTTCATGGTGTGTTCACTAGTTTCCAGCTGACTCGTTTTAGTCACAGCACCACATGCTTAGACAACTTCTGTTTCATTCCTGAGAGGGTGTCAGCTGCACACACACACACACACAGCCAGTAGTTCATAAGTGCGGATTATATTGTCTGTGAAAGAATGGTTGATTTGAAAAAAGCAGAATGCGGTCTATTGTCCTAAATTTGGAAAAGAACTCTCCAAATGACACGCCGATAAATAGACAGATAAGTACACATGTGATGGAATAAATAAACATAAATTGAGACATTTTGCAGGGGTTAGCATCTTTATTTGTCCATCTTATATTTGTGATGCTGCAAAAATGGCTCCCCATGGCCTCTTGAAGTTTGAGACAAACCATAATTACCAATATGTTGTCAGTCTTTCTGGGAATTTCAGAGAATTGTAATAACAAAGATACAGCTTCATTTTGGTGAAGACAAAGTTCTTTGAATGCATAAACGATTTATCGTTGAGAAGTTATGATCTTGCGTGTGCGTGATGCTGCTATATGATCATCCAGCCCTGTATAGGTCAAGTGTCGTGTCCTGTCCTGTTAGTCGAGGTTGTCGGGTAGAATCCCTGACGAGATGGAAAACCTGATCCCCGTCTCCCACCACCTCTCGGTTATATATATATATATATATATATTTATATATATGCACACACACACACACACACCCCTCTGAAAACACCCTGGACCCTTCACCGTCGGTTGTGTCACATACACTCAAAACACACACGCACGCTCTCTGCCAAACTGGGAGATGAAACCTGCACCCATCATGAAATATAGAGCACCCGGAGAGAGGGAGAGCAGCCGGGCTCCTGTTGCACATCACGAGTTGCCAGACTCCCTTCAGGAGGTCTCCTCCCAGCCTCTCGCGTTTTCACTCGAAAAGCAGCAGCAGCGGAGGCGTCCCTCCATCCGGACGTCTTTCCCGTCCTCGGCCGTCCCGTCTGTCGCAACGTTCTGTTTTAAAATAGGCGCTGCTCCGTGTGACGGGGCTCCGCTGTCCCGAGGACGCAAAAACACATCACACGGCTTAGGAAGTACACACTTCACATGTATGTTTTATGGATCAGGTACATTTTCTGTCTTATCTAATATCGAACTAGAAATGACAGATGAATATCTGGACTTCTGTCTTAACGTTAGTTATGGGTTTATCTTTACCTTTTTTTGTTCACCAAAATTGCAGCATCCTGCCCTGATTAATGGTTCTGTGAAGTTAAAGGACGATGCTCCTCCAACATACGGATTAAACAGACACTTTGGTCATTGGGCTCTACAACCCGTAAATTATATTTTATAAGAATTGTAATTATGTCTTCTGACATTACTGGAGCAGCACTTTCACTATGAAATTCTGCAGAAAATAATAACACAAGCTCAGGCTGTTGCAGCAGTTCAGCTGGATCGAGTTTGCCTTTTAGCTCAGAGACTAACTGAAGGTTTCGTTATGAGGAACCAATCTGAGTCATTTGCAATAATGCGAGACATTCAGAGTGAAAGACAGTAGCTGGAAGGTGTCTGATTAAAAGAAGATCACGCACGCACACACACACACACACAATATGACTTATTGCACTCTGCTATTTCCTGCTCGCACAAAGACACACACACATGCATGTCCTCATATAAACTGTGGCCTTCATTATGCACACTGTCTCAGTTGACCCGTGTCTCTCTCTCTGTGTGCATGTGCGTCAGCTCGGACAGACCACCGGTCTGACAGACTTGGCAGCGTGATGCTGCAGACCGTGTGTGTGTGTGTGTGTGTGTGTGTGCGTGCGCTGAATTCTTTGAGAGCTCTGTAACGCGTGTGCTTTGTGAAGCTCTCTTGTTGCTGTGAGTTTGTTGTTTGCAGAGTAGCTGGAAGGAAATTTTCTCCCTCAGGAGGACTAATAACAAACAGGCGATTTATAACTGTTTTTGTTTTTTCAGAATGTGTGATTTTAGGGTCAAATCTCAGTTTGACAGAAAAACGCTCTGGGGACACCATTTCGGTTCGTGGTCATTGAACAGAAAACCGCCCTGTGTGCGCTTGTTGTCTCGGCTCTGTTCCCTAAAATATCCTCTGGCAAACCAGAGTGTACGTGAGTTTCTTTGGGGAAAGTCCGGCCTATTTTTTTCTTCTGTTTTCCAGCGTAGATAATCCCGGCCAATCCTGTGAAGTCACGTCCGTTAATAGAATGAGTTGTCTGTGTTTGTTGGCCTGATGATGTGTGTGTGAGTTCGTGTTGGCGTCCCGCTGAGCTATGACACGAGGACTAGGAGGCTTTAAACAGGGAGGACGTCTCTTATTTTCTTCTTTCGTATCGTCTCTGCACGGTGAGGATTTGAAGCCTTAAAGCCGTCCTGAGAGTCTTGGAGGTATAAACAGTAAACGCTGCTGCTGGTGGTCCGCCCCCACTAATGATTGGGTGTAGTTCTTCTTGCTGTCTGGATGTCTGTTATTCCTCTCCGGTACGCTCATGATTGTTTTGTCGTTACACAATCTCACATCTCTTCGAGCTGAAGAACGTGACATTTGTTTGGTCTTGAGACATTCTGTATCCGTGGAGTAGTTTTGTTGCCCTCCTAATCTCCTCCTCGTTATTTCCCCAAATATATCTTATAATGAGCAGACAATGTAGTTCTAAAAAGCATTAGTTCATTTTAATGGTTAAGGGAATTGTTGAAAATGAATGGCCATCTTTTTTTATCTGCTTCCAGCTCCACTAATGTGACACTTTGCTGCTTTTCTCTGACTTGGGAATATATTTTTGTGCCTTTTTTATCAGATGGTAGACGCAACTTGAATAGAGCCAAATCCAGGTCAGAAGTTTTGATCATTTGAAAAACAAACCTTGAAGTTTAAGTTTTGTTCTTGAACATTGAAAAATACAACAATATAATCAAAATAGAAATGTGCACAAAAAGTATTATAGTTTTGACTCTGTTTTTTTAAATAAAATATTTTTTTTCATTCTTCACTTGATATTCACTGTAATTACAGGTGTCGTTTGAGTTTCGTTGACCAGCTATCAAACCACAAAGTTTGAATACGTGACAATCTTTCCAACCCGCACAAATGCGGCGCTGTGTTCACAGATGTTTGTGGAAGTGGGAAACTTCATGTGTGGTTGATGAATGGTTCATTCTGAGAGTTTTTTTTTAACTATCTATACTATTTTCTAAAAGAAAAACCGTTGACCTGGATTTGGCTCCCATAAACATGTTTTTAAAGGCTACATGCTGAGCTGCAACCGCAGATTAGTCCAAAAATTTGTGGCTTGCAAAATTCACAGAAATGACCTGGTTGTTCTTTTGGTTTTCCACCACTGGACTACTTTATTTATTCTGAATATTTTTGTGGCAACCTAAACATCGCTGTCTTTTCTGAGATGCAGTGCGCCAATCGGAACTTCCCCGGTTTCCTCCTACAAAGTACTTTGAACATCTTTGACTCGAAAGGGAAGAGAATTGCTGCGACTATTCCGTAAATCTGATTTCCTTTTCCTCCCTGGTAGTGACCCATTTTCAGCTTCTGTTCTTCAATAGTTTAATCTCTACTCAGCGCTAAAGAGTTTTGAATTCCTCAGAGCAGCAAAGTGGGACTTGTGAGCGTGTGATGGCTCCGTGTTTGTGACGTGTGATTGAGCGCTATACTCTTCACCCGTCTTCATCCGATAGAAGCACAGGAAACGTCTTTTGCTTTCTCACCCTCCACTTGGTGTCTTTACGGACCTCCTCCTCCTTCCACTCTTATTTGAGCTCTGTCCATTTTCTCCCTCGGTCACCGCAGGTTTTTCATATAAAGGCCTTTTTATTGACACTGTAAACTCATTGACTAGTCTAGCCGCTGCACATGCAACGGGCAACAAATCCCTACCCCTGTTAAGTGGGCTACATGTGCTTCATGGTAATGACAACATAACATTACGTCGGGGAAAGGAGTGTTTGGGTGAACGATAGAGGAAGGACTGATAGACCACACGCGAGATGCTCTCTTCCTGTTACTGTCAACGTCTCAAAAAGTGCACACGTGTCCACTCACGCAGTGCTGCACTTGCATCTCTGCAGCCCTGCAAGGAATGTGACGCCCGCGCTTGTTTTTTGTTTGAGCCGTCGACTTTGTCGCGCGTATATAAACACTTAAAAGTGTTGCGGTTTGGCTGGAGATGAGCCGAGTAGCTGACTAAACAAGTCCAAAAAATGTCTTTCAAAGTAGAGAGCAGGGCGGACGGCTTTTCGGTGAAAGCGGTTTGCCCATTCTCAGTAAAACTGCAGACTACTCCTAAAGATGGATCAACACCCAGTTTGTTCAAAGCCATTCGCTAATTATTTCTTGGAAAAAGTATGTCTGTATGTGTCATAACGTGAGTCAATCCTACAAGCAAAACGACAGGAAGAAGACATGTCAACCACGTGTTATTGTTGGAAGAAAGAAAGTCTGCTTTTGTGTGTGTGTGTGTCCCGTCTTCCCTCCCTCATCCTAGGACACACCTTCCTCTCAGGTATATAAACCTATGTGTTACTCACACTGCTCTTCCTCCCTCTCTGTGTGTTTTCAGTCTAAGATGCCCTAGGCCGGGAGAAGGGAAATGTAAATGGCTTCCAAAGTAAAAGATGCTGTGGTGTGGTACCAGAAAAAGGTAAGCCGATTTAAATCTTAATAGACAATATTAAAGTGTTTTTCTCCTCATGGTGGCTCGGCCTCGAACGGAGAGTGTGACTGTGGGAGTCTTGCTTCACATTGGAAGGTGCATTTTGATTCTGACTTACGAGCAGTCTGTTGCTGCTGAACTCTGCCGACGTTATCTTTGCATGAGCAAAGTCAACTTTGGTTGCATCTCACGGTTTACTTGCTGTTGTCACGTAGTATTTACAGAGCGTATTGGAACATGGGTACATATTTACTGTCGGGTCTTAACAAGTTCAACGTTTTAAGATCACCCTCACCCACACTTGTTATATTCAGTTTCTGCAGTTTGTTATTGCAGACTAGATGCTTATGATGTATACAAGCTGAGTGTGTGTGTTTATGCAACGTGTTTTTGTAATAACACACAACACAGATTTTTCTTATATATATCTTGTTTGCAACAATTGCAACCAGACATCTTTGGCACTTTGCTGCTGAAGGCCGTTAAAGCACCATCGGTACATCTGCGATGAACTAATATCCACGAACACGCTCACCGCTATAAGAAGGCTTTGCTGAAAGATATCAAAGTACCCACGTAAACGCCACTACATTTTGGTTTGCAGACTCTGTGTTTTTTTGGCACGGCCCTCGTGACTGCTGTCAGCGGCGCCGCGTGGAGCCGGGCCGGTGTCGTGTGTCTTCTTGTTCCATGCTCTCCGATATCGGATCCCCCCCCCGCCCCCTGCATGCAGCTCTCGGCTTACACACTCTGTCTTCTGTTATTATTCCCCCACCACCTCCCTGTTCACCACATCTGTCCGTCTGATCATTCTTTTTTCCCCTCATTGTTTGGTGCTATCATCGATCTTTCTCTCGCACCCGGCCCTCGTTGACACCCCCCTGAAGATGACTCGTACGAGAAGAGCCTTTTTTCAATTGAAGGTCTGAACTCTTAAACACTGCTGTCCGCTCCAGACAAACTGCCAATTGAAAATAGCATCTTTTGGTTTTTCTGGAGTTTTGTTTGCAGGCAAAAGTCTCAAGTCGTTAGTTATACTTCTTCGGCTCTGTAGAATTAGTCTAAGAAGCTGTTTCAGATGCAGCTTGATGGTGCGTGTGTGCGCCCGGCTAAGCTTGCCTGGGCAGAGACGCACCTTTTCCCAGCTGAGTCACAAACGAGTGAACCCCTTTCTGAGAGGCAGTCTCGGTCTCCAGGGCGTCTTCGTCTCTGAGTCATGTGGGATTTTTTTCCCCCTTCCACGTTCTGAATGTAAACGAGATTATGTTCCTCCATTACTCCAAATCTCTGTACCCTGTTTTTTTTGGGGGGGGGGGGGTTTCCTCTGTCCATTCGAACCGTCAGCCGCTCGTTTATTTTGTCGGGAGCGATTTCCCAACCGGCCGCGAAGCTGCACCTCGCGCCTCGTCTCCCCTCCCCCCCCCCCCGTCCCCGTGACTCACAGTATATTTTGGGCCGGGGCTGCCATGGCGTGTGGTCCGGATCATTTTACAGCACCAGACAGACGAGCTTGTTGTCGTTTTTTTTTTTCTTCAACATATTTCCTCAAAATGCAGTCAGACAGTGTGGTTCCTGCTGCTTCTTTTGGCGTGTCGGTGTTATATTTCAGCTTAAACCGTCGCACTTAAATAAATCCGCTTACGGTTTATTCCTGTGGTGGCTTTGAGGGATTCTTTTAGGAGATAAGCAACTTAATACATGTTCCTCGTACGAGGGTGAGATTTAAGAACGTTTAAGTAAAAATACATTTAAAGTAGAGAGGCGGCCCACGATCAAGCAAATGGATTCATGTGTTATTTCTAAGAGTAACTTACTTTTTAAATATTTTTTTCTCTCATTCATTTAGTTTAAGATGTTTAGGTTTAATGAAATAAAAACATGCTCAAATCATGAAATCTTTAGATTTATCCAATACGAAAGAATCCAACAATGCACCAGTAGTTAGAAACGCATAGAAGACTGTTACATGAGTGGAGAGATGTTTCACACACACACACGCGCACACACCTGTCTGAGCTGAAAATAGACCTTACTCATTACGCAGCAGCCTCCCCGTGTGCGTTGCCATGGTCACACGTGAAAACACAGCAGAGGGTAAAATGCCACAACCAGATGTCTTTCATTAAATCCTTTTTTTTGTTTTCATTCACACCTTCACTGTTTTTTCTTTCTTCGTTTGTCCTCATATGAAATCACATATTTAAAGATTCATTTTTTTTATGCCCTATTTCTTTCTTTTTTTTGTGCCCAAAATGTCTATTTTGGGGATTTGGGTCAAACCCATCCATCAGCAGTTCTGATCAGCACTATGAACACTATGTTTTATAATATGACTTTAAACTCAATATCTTGAATCCAAAAAAGAAAAGAACAGATAAGTAAAATAATCTGTAGTTTCAGGCTTTGATTTATTCATTTGTCTCTTTAAAATAAAAGTATCCTTGTGCGTCTCCACCGGTGGGTGAGATGGGTCAAAACTGAACACACCTAAACTGCATTCTGACAAAGTGATGAGGGATTTTCCGTCACAACCTGGTCAACATTAGAGAGTACCGGGGTGTTAAAACCTTTTTTAAAGCGCATGCGAGGAACCAGTAAGCCGTGTATCTACACATGAAGCCGTCACGAAGCAACAGATGCAATCTGGCGGACGCATGCACTCTGCTTTCGGTTCTGTTTTCGTCCCCGCCGACCTCTCGGTGGAAATATGTCCTTCCAGCATCTCGATGCTGCGCTGTGCTCGCCAGCTGCCGAATTCTTCCGTCCGAAACCTGCCGTGACTGGAAACGGCGCGAGCAAAGAGGCCGAACACGAAGCCACAAGCTTTGAAACCAGAACCGAAAAGAGCTCAAAGACGCTCTGCGATAATTCTCTGTGGGTTTTCACCTCACCTTTTTGATCCATTATTTCTCTTTAAAGTCAACACCCTACACTCAAAGGAGTGTGTGCGTATGTGCTTTTAATAGGCAACCTGCTCCACGAGTGTCGAGTAGTCGAACTCCAGCTAATCTGTAATGACATGTAGCGTGAGGAATGCAAATAATTGTCAAAGGATGAACAATCACTGAGGGTTGTGTTGGGTTCTGAGCCTCTGGTCAAGGAACAATACTGTCACAGCTTTGGCTTAAAACTTCATCATGTAAACATAACATGCATAATAACATCACATTTTAACCATCGTGTTTAACTCCATTCTATATGGTCCAAAATCAAAAACAGTTGATAATGTGTTCATCTTGTGAATATCTCCTGCAGACGCACAACCTGTTTGAGAGGCGCCCCCTCCACTGCAGAGGCAGTAGTTATGTAACTTTGCTTCGCCGACATTAATCTCCCTCCCTCCCTCCTTCTCTCCCTCCCTCCTTCCGTCTTTCCTCATCCGTCGTCATGGTGACCAGCACTGCCGCAGCGGCCTCCTCGTCTTCCCTTTCTGTTGCGCTCCCTGCACTTGGGATTTGCTTGTCAAATCGCAGAAGTCCGTTTTTGGACTCAATGAGACCGGGAGCTATGTAACTCCCGTCGGTTACTAATTAGTTCCAATATTTTAGTTTTTATCTTTCGTAGAATCTTTCGAGAAAATAATACAGATAATGAAACGCCTAAATGGACAAAAACTGTAGTTTCACACTCTGTGTGTGTGTGTGTGTGTGTGTGTGTGTGTGTGTGTGTGTGTGGGTGTGTGTGGATAAGAGGATCTCCCCGCACGATGCACCGTGGGATTTGTGCTGTCAGAGGGTGACTCCTCTCTCCAGTCTTCCGCATCCACTCGAGCGTCTGCGGTGTGTTTCGATACGTCGCAACGAAGATCGGCTGTTGATTCCTGTTGCAGAAATATTATTTATTGTAAGACTGATATTTAATTTCCTCCTCGGGTCAAATATTCAGCTCCCTGTCTGAACAAAGGAGGAAAATAACAGTCATTGCTTTATTGGAGCTGAATTGAGGGTGTCATGTGAGACCAAACCCTTTAAGGATGCAGTAGTTGAGAGGGAGGTCACTCTTAGCACGATGTCAATGACGAGCTGTTCTGAAGATGTTGATCGCATCACATGGTGCCCAGCTGTCATGGGACTGGAGGTGTCAACGTGTCCGCGTTTCAGACCACTTCAACACTTTCTCTCTCATTCGGCCCCTTTGCGTGTGTCCTCCCCCCCCTCCTCCCCCCGTTCTCCCTGCATGTTTAATGACGTCTCATTAAACATGCAGACTTTCCACTGGCATACTCGTGTGCGGACCCAGACACGCACATGAGTGAACACTCGCATGAATACTCTGATCCTCTCAAAGTCACTAAAACAACCACATGAAAAAGGATGCGACCAATTTGTGTGACTCGCGTCTCCCGGCTGTTATTTGCAGAGTCCTTCGATATTATCGGCCGATCGCTGCTACGCGATATCGGCACAGTTTGACCTTGGAGTGTGTTGTTTTTTTTTGCGTGTCCCCGGCCAGATGTCTGAACACACACAGAGACTAAACTGATGGTCATAAATGTGTATTAACGGCTGCACAGACGTATAAACACACACAAGCTGTTGCAGTGACCGTGAACCTTGTGGACCAGTTTCACAGGTTCTGAACTCGAGACGGGCGAGAGGCAGAGAGGTGACGGTGGAGAAATGCTACACGATACACTAGACATCCAGAACATTTGCCCTCTGTTGACAATGTAACTGTCGTCTCAATGACGGCTTACCGATTATGTTGTGTTGTCAAAAGTTGTAAGATTTGAAAAGAAAAAAGCTACTTAGGTAGTTGGTTACGGGACAGCATGGTTTAGGGGGTTGATTGTAGTCTTTAGTTAAAATGACCCACTGATTGCTGCGCTAAAGTCCTAATTCGTGGTGAAGTCATGTAATACGTGGTTGTAAATATCCGCCCTGGTTTATGGGATCATGACGGCACCAGTTGTGCAACACAAAGCGGAACAGCAGACCGTGACAAGTTTGTGCAGACTCCTCCTGCACGGAAAATCGGTCGCCATGGCGATATAATCCCTCTTTAAATAACAATGCACCTCACTTTGATTCTGGTGATTTATTTTAACGTTTTCAATCATACGTGAATCCTTCATTAAAGGGAAGTGACGATTCGTTTTAAGAAAAGCTTTATTGTAGTTCAGAATCATTATTCCTCCTTCTAGAAGATGACGTTGTCGCTCTTCCCCCCCGATTAATCAGTGATCATTTCTCCTGTTTGTTTTTCCAGATCGGCGCCTATGACCAACAGATATGGGAGAAGTCAGTGGAGCAGCGGGAAATAAAGGTAATTTTGTTGCACTGTGTTTGTCTTTTTTGGTTCATTTTCTACGTCTTCCTGTTTCCCTTCTTTCTGTGCTCTTCTTATTCTAAATGTCTCATTGTCCTCCATTTCTTCTGGTTCCTTTTTTTTGTCGAGTTTCTCCCGTCCTCTCTTCGACTTTCGCTCTTCCATCTTCGTCCCTGTTCTTTATCTTATTGTCTTCTCACCATGCTGCCCGTTCTTTTCCAATGTTTTCTTTTAACTCTCTCCTCTCTGCCACTTGGCCGGGTGTCACGTGCCCATCTCTCCTCTCTCCATCTCATCCCCTCTTCTTCCAATCCGTCTTTCCCTCCTCCTCTCCACAGTTTGTTTCTCTGGTGAGTATACAGCGGGAAACAGTCCCGTCCCCTCTTGTTGTCCCACAGTGCACATCTGCTTCCCACGCCGTAGCCAACTAGACTGTGATTGTTTTGTGTGTGTGTGTGTGTGTGTGTGTGTGTGCTATTAACCCCACTCTGCATTCACACTGTAGCAACACACACAGCTGGATTAATGAGTCACGTGATCAACACCGCAAAGCGTCGGCCATCTTTAACTCTTAGTGGCTTTTAGGTCGGTGGAGCTAGAACAACGCAGACTTGAAGGTCAGAGCAGATTAAAGATTGACGGTTGACGTTGGGCAAAACTTGTTTTCTGTTTCTCAGGGTTGTGCGTCTGCGTTCCAGACATAACAAGCTCGGATAGCCAGATACATTCCCAGCTTCTAGTAGAAGTCTAGTAGAAATCTTCCAGAGTCTTCCTCGTTTAAGTCGCATATCTTATTCTGTCGAATCGTAAACTATTACAATATCCTTCACAAAATAACAACTCTACAAAACAGCAATCTTCACGCTAGTACCGTAAAAAGACTTTCAATGGATAGAAAGATGAAGCAAAGAGAAAGGAATTGATCGTGGTGTTTGCTTACGTGATGTCACTGCATGTTTTTTGGTGTTATCTTTTAAGCTGTGACATTCCAAACTCGTAGTAAACTGGTTCAACTGGGAACAGGGCGGAAAAAGGAAGTGGAGGTACGTTCACGGAAACCTAGCCAGCACTTTCTATAAAGGCGACTTCACCGCCTAAATGCAACCCGACCGTCAGTGATTTGGCCTTTGGGGAGAAGAATACCTACTAGTTACTCTTCCCCCCTCTGGACTGTTTATCAGAATGTTTATAGCCTCAGGAGATTCTGATGATAAATTCTTTCTTTTAATCTAGTGGAAGATACAGCGGCTCCTTTTTGCCTCTTGTAGATTCATATTAGAACGAGGACTACAAGGAATCTTTTTCTGACTGCAAAAAAAGAAAAAATACATGTACAAGTATTAATATTTATTTATCGGTTTGGCCGAAGAGCGCATGTGGGATTTTCTACCAAGGAAAGCCAGTCGCCACCCGCTGGTACAAACGGGGAACTACAATATATCCTACTTTGTGTGTTTGTGCGCATGAAAAGCGTCATGACGAGCAGCGTTCCATGAGAATTGTCAACAGAAAAGAGAAACCTTTCCTCCTAATGAATGAACGTTTATACGCGTCGCGGTCACTGAGGCCGCATCGTAGCTGCTAACCAGTTCATAAAGATAAGCGACTATCACACAGATAAGAGCGGCGGCCAGGCGAGATCGTTTTGAAGGACTTTAATGCTGCAGTAAATCTACTGAGAAGAGGAAGCTATCGATTGGAACACACACACACACACACACACATAGCATAATACCTCACTCGAGTTGGTGTTTAAAGATAAGAGCCCCCATCAAGCCTCTGTATCAAACCATTTACTGATAACACAAAACCTGATTGGCCTGTATGTAAATATTAGCATGAGCCCGTCCGATCCGAGGGGACAGATTTAGGTTGTTTCCCAATCCCGTTAAATGGGACTTGCATACTTTACATTACAGGTCATTTAGCTGACGCTTTTATCCAAAGCGACTTACATTGCATTGCTAACCCATGGCTTTTTACATTTTTGCCCGTGGAGCAATAAGGTGTCTCAGGGACACTTCAACATGGGACACACTTAAAATGAACGATCGAGTGGAGCTGCCTATTGCTAATGAATCAATAATGAAACAGCAACTGTTGAGACCCGGCCGAGAAGATCAAGTATATAAAGTATTGTGTGTGTGTGTGTGCGTGTGCGCGCGCGCAGCACTGCGGTCATGTTTACTTGGAGCCATTGATGGGAAACCTCATCAAAACCAAGCTATTGTCAGACTGCTTTCATTCTAACTCGGACATTATTGTATTTCACCGCACGCACACAGACTGAGTGTAATGGCATTATAGGAAGTGACCGATTGTGACAGGAAGTCAGCGTGCCACAGGGGAGCTTAACTTCAAAGCAAAGTTTGAAGCTGCAGCAGAAAACCTCACTGAGGCACTTTTGAAAAGACGCTGCTGAAAGGTCTTGGTCCTCCTAAATTTTGCCTCAAATGCAAAGTAGCAAAAGAGCCTCCGCACAGCGCTTTAACGTGTTTTAATGGTGTGTGTGTGTGTGTGTGTGTGTGTGTGTGTGTGTGTGTGTGTGTGTGTGTGTGTGTGTGTGTGTGTGTGTGTGTGTGTGTGTGTGTGTGTGTGTGTGAGAGATTGAGTAGAGGCCCGTCCAAGGTCTTCAGCGAGCCGCTGGCTGTGTGAGCCTCAGTGCACGGTGTGCCTCTGTGTGTGTCCATGAAGGCATAACGTGCATGAGACGCCTCCTGTAGTCGAGTTCCTGTGTGTGTTTGTATGTGTGTTCATAATGCAGTCTGGCATTGACTCTGTGTTTCTCTGTCTCCCCCCGCAGGGCTTCAGGAACAAGCCGAAGAAGACTGGACATGTCAAACAAGACCTCATAGACGTGGATTTGGTTAGAGGTGAGCAAAAAGAGTGTGTCCTTTCCATCAGAATCATTAGAGTAGAGTTTCCAGAGGCTTTTTGCAAAAACTAAAAAAATGCAAAACACACACGAGCCTGAGATGTGTCCATCTGTGTTTTCATCTTTTCAACTCTGAAAATGAGATTATCTGATTAGTTCTACGCGTGGGATTGTGTGTTAAATCAACGTGTGTGTGTGTGTGTGTGTTATTCTCTTCCTGCGCAGGCTCGGCCTTCGCTAAGGCCAAACCGGAGAGTCCGTGGATCTCCCTGACCCGAAAAGGCATCGTCAGAGTTGTCTTCTTCCCGTTCTTTTATCGATGGTGGATCCAAGTTACCTCCAGGACCATCTTCCTCCTGCTGCTGGTTCTCTATCTTCTGCAAGGTGTGTGTGTGTGTGTGTGTGTGTGTGTGTGTGTGTGTGTGTGTGTGTGTGTGTGTGTGTGTGTGTGTGTGTGTGTGTGTGTGTGTGTGTGTGTGTGTGTGCGCGCCTCTTCCACAACTTAGTGGGAGGGGATGTGTTTCTTGTTTTCAGACTGCAAAAATATGAAAGCATTCGTCTCAAATGATACAAAAAAACATAAGTATTTTAATACTTTTAATAGTGTCCGATGAGGACGAGTTGCATCATCGTATCTGGGCCTGAATTGAACCTCATTGGGCGTAAGGACACTCTCAGACCTTCCCCTTGATTCGTTACCTCAGTTTCATCGAGCTCACTTTCTAAACTTGCAGTGGCGGCGGCCGTCCTGTACGGGCTCGTCCCGCAGCCTCATGGGGTACCCACCACCGAGGTGTTTGGAGCCATCTGGCTCATGCTGCTGCTGGGCACCGTCCACTGTCAGATCGTCTCCACCAGGACCCCGAAACCCACCTCCAGCGCCGGGGGGAAGAGACGCAGGTGAGTTTGGGAAAACAGAAACCAGGGCAGTAGAGAGAATCATTTGAATATGTGTCTCTTGTTGCTGGACTGTTTTCACTTTTTCTTTTCCGACAGGTTCTGTCGGCTTGTAAGTGAATAGAAGCATATTCATCATGGAGGGAGTTTCCGTTCACATCGACAAAAATCAACTCCGTATTCACTGAATCCTCACAAACGAGTGACATTTGACAGTTGGCAAGAATTAGGAGCGACATTTAGGTCATTGTGTTATGAATCTCTCCATGATAAATATTATTTCACTAGTCTCAAATGGGATTGATTGTGTGTGGAAGTAGAAACTAGCCAGCTTCACTTGGTGTGTTGTTTATTTTTGTAGTCTTTAGACTTGCAGTGTGTCAGTTTCAGCTCGTCGGTGTGCGGCCGCTGTGTCTGGTTCACGATTATTTAAGACAATTTTCAGACTCTTGGGAAGAAAATTGGACCATGCCACAGTTTTGGAGGAGGCGAGGTGATCGTTTTTTGTAGAGGAGAAATGGTGAAAGGGGGAAATTTCTAATTTGCAGTTCTCTGTATCTGTCTTTCTTCCTCATCCGAGTCTCGAACCATTTCATCTCATAGACAAACAGAAATATGTCTCAGGAAATGCAAACAATGTAATTCATCTAAAAGCCAACAATTGTTGTCAACAATTATTAAAAACGGGGCTTAACTTCTCCTTGATCAACGTTTGGAGGAGCTAGTCTTTAGGGTTACCTGACTCTTACACACACAATAATACCTAATCACATCATAAAATCTGGGGACATTTTGGGATTGTGTTTTGTCTGTCTAGCTTCTCTTTAAATTTAAAGTATATATTTTTTTACTGCCAACGCCAGCTGTGAATCATAATAAAATGCAGCCACACTGCCGTAGTTTCAAGTCCTCTTAGTCTCCAGGTTCTCTTTTTAAGTCTCTCTCTCCGCTCTCTATTCTTTTCAAACTGAAGGAAGTTGAGGAAGGCCTCTCAGATGGAGGTGCATAGGGAAGGCGACGGGTCTAGCACTACCGATAACACACAGGAGGGGGCGCCACACTCCCACTCAGCGAGCACCACGTACAGCCTGGGCACTCTCTTCCAAGATTTCTGGCATGATATCTGTAAAGCTGGGTGTGTATTTTTGTTTCTCATCTTCCTAAAACGAGATGATGTGCGGAGACGGGACCAGGGTTCAGTTCACCAAATGATACCAGATTCTAAATTTTATTGTATTTGTCAATTTTTGTATTGGCGAAAACAATAGATTGATAGTCTCCCTTTTAACTGGAATGCTAAGAACTGAATCCCGGCCCGGAGTCGGCCCTCAACCGGGCTTCGTCAGCTGCAGCGTCGCTTCCTTTCTCGCCACGTAAACTGATTCCCGAGCCCCCAAAAAGAGACGGTGCGAGTGATCTTTTGACATTTGGCATCCCTTTTTTTGGTGAGGAACGAGGGGACTGTGCAGCTGGCTTTGCGCGTGGGTCTAACCGGCGGTGTAAAAAGGAAGCATGGGGCACGGTTCAGTGCCCGAAAAAATAATTCTACCAAAAATCAACTATCCGATACTCTGTAAAAACATTTGCTATTCCATAATTTGAATTTGACCTAAACCGTGACCCCAAGCTTTTGCTTTGACCTGCTTCAACATCGGTGTGGAACATTCCAGATTTAGGGTTTCTTCATCTGCTGATGATCTGCCACACACTCTTCAGCACTCGGTAATGACGCCTCAAGTTCATTCATGGACAGGCGGCGCTTTAAGTGACTTGTTACATCAGCGGATCTCCAGCACATCAGGTTTTGTGCAACATTTCTTCAGATATCTGTGTTCATTTAGTGTGAATGTTCCACAGTGACGTGTTGAAAGCTTCCTGTTTATCTGTGACTTGTCTCACTGCATGTCTTCTACTGGGGCTGAACCTCATTCTGTCCACCCATACACGTCTATCAACCTCTCCTCCTCGCTGCCTCCCCCACATCCCTTCCTCTGCCTCCTCCTCCAGATCGAAGAAGTCCAAACTGTCCATCGACAAGTCGACGGAGACAGACAACGGCTACGTCTCGCTGGACGGCCGGGTGACCAATCGCAGCAGCGAGGAGGGGCTTCAGCTCCACGAGCAGCGCTGCGATCTGCTGACCAGGGCCGAGGAGGTGTGCTGGAACGCCCGCGTCCAGCCGCCGCACCTTCACGCGCCCCTCTGCGCGGGGCCGGTGGTCGCCAGCGGCAACAAGGTGGTCCATCAAAGGAGAGACGCGGCCGCGCACACGCCTGTCTCTCCGGTCTTTGGGGGCTGACGTGTAGAATCGTGTGTTTTTCAAGGAGCCGGCGTCGGACGAGGCGTCCAGCGAGGAGGACCCCGAAGCCTCCTACAGGGCGCTGCGCCGGGGGGTGGAAAGGACGAACAGCGACTCCACGCTGAGGAACCGCAAGAGCACGCATCACTACAAGAAGCACTTTGCTGTGGAGGTACAAGCACACGCAGACAAGCGAACCCGCTCACTTGTTAAGAGGCTCCATCAATTTATGTCAGAAACATGGAAACCGCACAAAGGCGTTTTAAAAAACAACCGTCGTCCTCGCTGTCCGTCAGGACGTTCCCAAGTCCGGCACCAGCTGCAGCTCCAGATGTTCCAGTCTGAGGACCCAGGACTCGGAGAGCACTCGACACGAGTCTGAGACGGAGGACCTGATGTGGGAAGACTTCCTGCACTGTGCCGAGTGCAGATCGTCCTGCACGTCAGAGACCGGTGGGGAGATGAGATCAGCATAGAATGAAAAGAAAGAAGCATTTGTTCCGTTGTTTGTGCTAAAAGTCCTTATGACGCCTTGTCTTTACAGAGGGAGAAGGAGGAGGGACGCCTGTCTGTCCCCCTGCTAAAAAGGAATACAGAGACGACCCTTTCCATCAGGTCAGTGAGGCCTGCCTGGTGCCAGACAACTTCTAAATATAGATATTTTAGATTTAAAAGCAAAGTCATTTAAATGCATCATAAGTTACACTTTTCAAACTAGACCTCTTCTGACCTGTAAATCCTCAGGGCTTATGGGGGTTTCTTCCCACAGGCCCATTAGAGTAGCACTACAGAACGAAGTGGTTGCAGTAAATAGACGGTTCATAATAGTAGTTTGGATGTTTTTGCCGCTCAGGGTCACGCCCCCTGGCTGCACAGCTCCAATCCCGGCCTGGAGAGAGTGAGCGCCATCGTGTGGGAGGGAAACGAGTGCAAGAAGGCCGACATGTCCGTCCTGGAGATCAGCGGGATGATCATGAACCGAGTGAGTGACGATTCCCGCGGCCCCAAAACAGTGAAACGCACTCAATGTTTCTGAGGCAAAGTTTCTCCTCCTCTCATCACAGGTGAATCTGTACAACCCCGGTATCGGCTACCAGGTCTTTGGGAACCTGGTGTCAGTGACTCTCGGCCTCACGCCTTTTGTGTACAGGTACTGCTGACACGTAAACGTCATCTAAATACATGAACTATGGGGGAAATCCAGAAGGATGCTTTAAACTTCTGAAGGGGGGAGAGTTGGACTGGAGAAATAACTTATTATAAAGAATCTAACTCTGAATGTTTTACTTGATAAGACTTATGACATATTACCAGCTGCTCACTAATTGTAAAATAAAAAATATAAAAATGCGGGTTTACTTACGTCGCCTTGGTCCGTCTCCTGCAGGCTGGCTCAGTACAGTGACTTGGATCAGCTGACCAGTCTCTCAGCCAACGAGCTACTGTCCGTGGCGCTGGGAGGCGGGTCGGGATCGGACGCCATGGTCATCACCATGGTAACCCTGAGCTTCCTTGTGCGCGTCTGCCTCACGTGGCTCTTCTTCTTCCTGCTCAGTGTTGCCGAGAGGACCTACAAACAGGTGAGACGGGGACACTGGGAACAGCACAACGCTGAGTTCGATTCTTCGCCGTGAGCCCGCCAGCCGGTTCTGATCCAACTTACCGCTGGGTGCGTTTCAGAGGCTGATGTTTGCCAAGCTGTTTGGCCACCTGACTTCGGCCCGCAGAGCCAGGAAGTCCGAAGTCCCCCATTTTAGACTGAAGAAAGTACAGAACATCAAGATGTGGTTGTCGCTACGCTCCTACCTCAAGGTTTGTTAAAACAAACACGACCCCTTCAGCTCTGAGTGAAACGCGTGGCCGTAACCAGCGGGCGGAGGTTAACTCTGGCGTTTCCTTCGCAGAGACGTGGTCCTCAGCGCTCGGTGGACGTGATCGTGTCGTCCGCCTTCCTGCTCACTCTGTCCGTCGTCTTCATCTGCTGCGCCCAGGTAACTGAGCGGGGTTGAGGCCCGCAGTGTGCGTACGGCGGGTCGGGTACCTTCCCCTCGGACCGGCGGGTGAACTTGCCTCTTTCCTTCCAGCTGCTGCACATCCACGACACGTTCCTGGCGTGTCACTACAACTGGGAGCTGGTGATCTGGTGCTCCAGTCTGTCTCTGTTCCTGCTCCGCTTCGTCACGCTGGGCTCCGAAACCAGCAAGAAGTACAGCAACACCTCCATACTGCTCACCGAACAGGTACGCGCAGGGTCTGCACGCGGAGCGGCGCCGCGGCGCCTTCCGACGGCGCCGCTGATCCTCTGTGTGTTTCACAGATCAACCTGTACCTGAAGATGGAGAAGAAGCCAAATAAGAAGGAGGAGCTGACACTGGTGAACAACGTGTTAAAACTGGCTACCAAACTTCTCAAGGTACCGTTTGTCTCCAAACATTTTCCATCTCCTTTGGTTTCGATAACCGCAGCAACAGTCTTTTATCTTAACCTCTGTTTATCTCTCTCTCTCCAGGAGTTGGATACTCCTTTCAGGTTGTATGGTTTGACTATGAACCCTCTGCTCTACAACATCACCCAGGTGGTCATCCTGTCTGCTGTGTCGGGAGTCATATCTGACCTGTTAGGATTTAACCTGAAGGTGTGTGTGTGTGTGTGTGTGTGTGTGTCTGTGTGTGTGTGTGTGTGTGTGACTGACAAAGCGGTTCATGGGTCGTTATTCGGTTGAGATGCCGGTCAGACCAGAAAACTCTTCTTTAAGCTTGAAACTTGAAACTACAAGATTAAAGGTTGAAAGCTTCTCCTTTTATGTTTACCGGTGATTTTGTGAAGGTTCAGAGATCTTTTATCTTGACTTTTTTTACAACCCCATTCAATTAACAATTAAAGACGCAAATGTATGGTACCAATTAATTAATGGGCTGTAGTTTACTATTTGTAATGTTTTATAGTTTTTTCTTTGGTGGAACTGTCATTCGAGCATGAATCCTAATCGGACCTCTTTCTTATTACTGTAGAGCACAGATCCAAAGCAGGCCGGTTTGTGCGTTAATCCCCCGTTTGACTTTGTGTTCACAGCTGTGGAAGATCAAGTCGTGACAGTGAGCCGGAGAAGCGGGCGCTCCTGTGACGGAGCGGCGCGTCGGAGCGCTTTCACCTTCAGCAGTCTCACTTTGTGCAATTCAAAACCTATTTATTTACCCACTCAGTGTTTTCTACTAAGGGTTTATTTGAATATTCGTTTGTTTTAACTTTTGTGTTGTCAGACGCATAAGGATGCTATATTTTACCCGTCTACAAAGTGTTAGTATTACTTTCGAGCGTTGATGCTGGTGTTATTGGATGGTTTAGGAGCTTTGCTGCGTTCGGTTGTCATTTCAGGTAATTCACATATTTGAAGCATTGAGCTGCCGATGGCACAACTATCGTTTCATTGTAAGGTTCTGTTTATTTGCTTAAACAAAAAGTTATTATTTATATTTTAAATACATTTTAAAATAGAATTTCAAAATGTTACAACCGTAGTATTTTTTTTTTTTTTTAAGAATACAAATGTTACTCCAATGGTTTGCCTCAGACGGAAGTTGAACTACAATGTGTTGGTTCCATTTGAAAAAATTATGAAAAGGATCTTTTCAGTGGCGAGCAAAGCAAATCCTCGTAAAACTTCAATAGAAAGTTTACTTTGCCTCCTGGCATTTCACAAACTTCTTTTCCCCGTTGACATCCGTTCCCAAGTGGTACATTTACCTGTAAGCATTCTCTTTCTAAGGATTTTCATTTTCTTACTTACCTGAGTTGTTGGGAGGTGAAATGCAAAGAAACAATCATCTAGACAACAGAAACCTTAAAAAAAAAAATCCCTTTTATTTATTACTTTTTTTCCCGCAATGCTTCTTCCTTAATTACTCCACATGAGATCAATTCCTTTTGTATTTGGTCGGATCTGAGTCACATGTGGGTTTTTTTTTCGTGATGATCCCGATTGGTCATTTATGTTTTTAAGTTCTCAAACTGACTTGCTGAGGTCCGAGAGCCTTTTCTGCTTCGTTTAACTGGGTTTAATGGCCTACAAGTATGTGAGTGGCAGCTGGTGGGATCCTCTACCTTTTCTTATCCGTAGAACAGAGTCGACTGAGCCGTCCTTCACAAGAGAAGAGGGACAACGCCGAACCCCTGAGGCACGTCAGGATTTTTGGAAACTGTGTATTCTAAAACAGGCGAGTACACAGTACGACAACACATTCACATAGATTTAGAAAAACATTTCATGTTACTCAAAAAGGTCAACGGTCGATATTGTACCATGACGGCTTGTTGGATGGGAGACTCGTGCGCTTGATCAGCTGATGTCACAAGTTCCTGAACATCTCAGTCAAAGCAGGTCTGAACGTGAATGAAGATATGCACTTTAAAAACGGATGAAAATAAGTTACATCGTGTTTTGATGTCGAGAGATTATTTTTTTTTTCTTCATGTACCTCACCTGCGTGACACAGTGTGTGTGTGTGTGTGTGTGTGTGTGTGTGTGTGCTGTTTAAGCAAACGCTAGCTCTGGATTTATGAATACTTTGACAATTCACATCACTCTTAAGTTCATCCAGCATAGTACTTGAAGTCATCCCACCCACAGAAAATATTTCTTGATTTAAAATGCTTTGGTTGCCTCAGTTCAGGAGTTCGGTTCGGCTAATTGAGACTAGTTTCATTCACAAAAACGCAAGCGTAATCCTCTTCAGTGTTTTTGAGGGAAAAGACCAAAGTGCTTGTTTGAATTCATTTTTTTTGTCTGCTGGAAAAAGAATGTATTTACAGCATTATTCTTTACAATGTATTTGTTTCCCTTTGGAAATACCTTTTAAGTTGTATTATCTGGCATTGTGATTTTTGTCCTTTCGTCATTATTTGTAAAACGTGGTTTGTCGCTCGTTGGAAAGAGGAGGCTTGAGCTACTGTGTTTCTAAGGAACAGATACGTTTGAAATGTATGAAAATGAATTTAAGTAAAGAACTCTGATTTGATTCTGTTTTCAGAGTCTAAAATCTTTTTTCTTTGAACTCGTCTTTCCACAAGGTCTACGTTTTTATAATAAAAATAAAATGGATGTTGATTCAATGAGGTTTTGTGGTCTTTTAGTATGTAAACTTGACCAGCTGTGACCAGCTCTAGGATGTCTTTTTTCTTTTTTGACTTCTTCTTTATGCAATTATAAAATTGCTGTAATATTTAAAAATGCGATGGTATTGCATATTGAAAAGTTATAAATAATTCATACTATCACTTTTCTCAGACCTTCCGACATGCAACAGTATAACTTTTGAGATTCATTGTTATTGATGACTTTTTTACAAAAATAATAATGGAAACAAATTGCAGCCCGTTTAGGGAATTGTGTTGAGGTGACACGCTTTTTTATTGAGGTTCAGCGCATCTTAACCACAAACGAGACAGAAATGATTTTTAAAAACGTTTTATTAGAACAATACAGCAGATATAAAGGTCTATTGCAATCAAACACTCATCCCATCATAATGGAACGTGTGCTTCAGCAATTTGCGCTCACCGAGAAATAAATTAATAAACTAGCTAAAGTAACAGAACAGAAACACGAGAACGTGTGTTTAGATTCCTGCTCAGAAAAGGCTGCCATCAAATAGAAACGTGCAAACCCTCCAAACAATCACAATGTTTCGGATCAGTTCTGAATTGTTTGTTGGTTTTGTGTGTTTCCATCGGGCTGGAGCGAGATTTTGGTATTCCCAGAACAATACATTTTTAAAAAGGTTCCCCTTGTTTTAAGTCTCCTCATTCGAGGCAGTTAATGCGCCTTAAAGCAGCTCAGATCTTTGGAGGAGACTTTTTTTCTGTATTTTCAGGGTGAGAGACTGAGAATCCGCCTCACATGATCACTGACTAAAAGGAACAAGTGATAAATAGAAAAGACTAAATAAAGCTTGCAATAATACAATTGCAAGCTTTATTTTGTCTCGTAAATGAAAATGGACAAAATAAAATGCAATCCAATCAAAAATAAAAGTAGTGTGAGAAAGAGCATCCAAAGAAGGACGACTGATCTACTGTAATTAAGCTGCAGTCCCCTCCCCAAAAAAAGTCATAAATATGACTCGGGCCGTTAAAAAAATATCCTCAAGTTACGCTTGATATGTTTGAGGAAATCAGTTGAGGGCATGTAATATAAAAGAGTCAACTTATATCGGTGACGTGGAAATGAGTTTTTATCTTTAGACATTTACCATAAAAAGATGGCTACATATCAATAGGACGATTTTAAACACCGGAGTTTTGACTTAGGATTTGGTTTTAAGCACAAATGTTCACAAGACGTTTTATTCACGAGGCCCGATTTAAGATCTATTCTCCAGCTTTGTGGCGTTGGACGAAAACCACGGCGACGGTTAGAGTTGAAAACACCCGGTGGACTTTTAGTCGTCACTTCCCACGTCTAAAGTCGCCGTCGTCATAAACATGATCCAGATGTTGTGCTGTTTATTTCCACTCGTCATCGTTGCATAAACAGGCTACGCAAAGTTTAAGCAATTCCCACCAGCTGCAGTTATATTGTGTTCTCACCATCACCCCTCACAGTGTAGAACTGTACAGCTCCCTTCCTCATCTTCATTGGATTAATTGTCAAACATGTTTATTTATTCATCAAGCGATGACTTTTTTTTCCCTCATATTTCATACAAATCTATAACCCCAAATTTAGAAATCTTATTTACATGGAGAACACCTTTTTTTTTTTTTTTTTACTTTTAAAAGTGACTTTTACCCATTAACGACCCGGTTCCCAACATCTCACCTTTACAATCATGGAAGAAACCCACTCAATATGATTTAGAAAACAGCGTCAGCAAAATAAAACAACCTCAAAATGTATTTTTCAAAGCCACAATCGGGTTCCTTTTCAAATCAAACCATTAAACTCTAAATATCTGAACTCAACACAGATGCTTTTTTTCTTTAGCATTACTGAAAGGATGTTTTGATGAATACCACACAGACACATTTCCTGGAGCATCAAAAACTGGGGTGAAAAAACACACACACGGAGTGTTTTTTTCTTTTTCATATTAGAAGCAACAGAGCCAGAAGAGGTGGACAGAAAGAACAAAACCTCTCGTCCGTCAGCTCTAATAGCACCCTTAGGAGGGGGGGGGGGGGGGGGCACCAAAAAAGCCACGATGGTCTTCAGTTTCGGGGGAATTGGGTGTGTGTGTGTGTGTGTGTGTGTAGCCCTGTGCATATCATTGGGAGCCGGTGCCTCCCCATGTGAGTGGGTGGGCGGCTGAGCCGGTCGGCGTGCGTTAGAGAGTGCCGTCGGCGGCGCAGCCCCCACCGGCCTGGTGGCGAAACTCCTGCAGGTTGGAGACCCCGTGGAAGTGAACGAAAGCTCCTGCGACCACCAAGATGTGAAACAGCTGATGGGAGTGGAACTAGAGGGAGGAGAGAGAATAAAACTAGTGTGAAACGGAGCAACATAAAGGGAGATCCTAGTTTTGCATCTAGCTTTAATTTAGCGTCGACTCTTTTGGAGCCCCGTGGACAAATGTTGTACACGGTACAGGTACCTGTGTGTGTTAGTTACTCACCCAGATGTCACACTTGCCGGGGAAGAACCTCTCGGGGATGCGAGCGGCGTACAGACAGGCTCCGGTGATGTACAGCGTGGCCATGAGAAGCAGCCAGCCCATCTGGCCCATGGTGGTGGCTTTAATCAGACCCTCGCTGATGACAAAGTGCAGGCTGGGAACCACGCCGCTCAGACCCAGACCCACAAACACTCCTGAACACAGTGAGAGGGAGAGGAGGGGTCAACACAGCGCTTACAGGAAGCTCACGAATGAGAATGAGTGCACGTGGTATAAATATATACATATGTTATACCTGCTCGGACTCCTCTGTACTGCGGCGTGGCGAAGAAGTCGCACTGGGAGACGGTGATGGCGGCCAATCCCAGTATGCAGACCACTATCAAGTAGATAAAGCGGGGATGAGGGGAGCAGTAGAAGGAATAATACAACCAGGGGACAAAGGAGCCCATGATCAGAAAGGCGATCCCACTGTAGTCCAACCTAGACGCGGGGAAGCAGAGAATGAATGATTATGGACACTGAGGATGTGGGCGCAACTCTTTTAGGGCTCAGGACATTTTATCTACTGAGGAATGCAAGACAGTGAAGTCCATCTTACTTTGAGAAGACTCTGGAGACGCCCTCTGAGTGGCAGTAAACTGTGTGGAAGAGCCAAGAGAAGGAGAGGCAGAGGACGGCGCCCAGGAAGAACACGCCGATCACCACCTTCTCCTGGACCGGCGCCACAAAAGACATGTTGGGCCGGAACATGTACATCAGACCCAGACAGAGGAAGAACAAACAGCCTGCAGAGGAAAAAGGCGAAATACAATCAACAATCATGAACTACGGATATGCTATAAGTTAGTGAGAATGTCATTAGTAGGTGAGGACATATAACACGGCACTTGTTTATTCCAAGCAAAATGACCAAAACGGGATGAAATAACAATAGTATTCACGATTTCTCACTAAAATCCCAGAGACATGTAGGTGCAGTAGCTCTGCGTAACCACTAGGTGGAAGCAGGAACGCACACAGCGGTTTCCAAAGTCGAAGCTCAAGTGGCTCTTTGGCTCCAGAAGTTAGAAACCAACAAACAGCTTTAAATCAAAGTCGGCGTTACAAGAATCCGAATGATTCCAACGGCGTGTTATTGTTTTCTCACACCAGCCGGCCGCTCGTGACCCTGCAGCGCATCATAGAAGCCAACAACCCTTGTTGTGTGAACTTGTACTTATGTTTCGCTGTTATCCAACAGGTTTAATGAGGCTTATCTAAAAGATACAAAAAAGATCAGCAGTTGAGAAACACGCAGCTTTTCCTTTCATCAATTCAACAATTCGTCTTGTATTCCTCTCCTTAAGTGTCTTTGTCCCGTGTCCTCGTCCTGGCTGATCACACAGTGTTCCAGTTTGCAAACAAGCACACAACATGTTTCTGTAATGTGGCTACAGATCCCTCAACTCAAAGAGATTTAATGATAGCATTAAGGTCAACTAAAAGTCTACTTTATTGTGTTATGGTTAAGAGCACACTGCTGGTTTTTCAGGATGGGAGAGCGTGTGCTACCTAGCAGGTGTGTCCAGATGTTTCCGGTCTCTGTGTGGATTCTGAAGATGCTCTTGAAGCAGGCGCGGAACGAAGGCATGGGCGGCCTGTGGCCGTGCAGCAGGAAGTCGTTGTCCTTCAGCCAGTCGGGCAGCACGTCGTGAGGCATGACTCGCCACCGGCCCTCCCACACCTGATCGGTTAGAGAGGCAACGTCAAGTCGGAATTCAGGAAAAACAACCTGAAGGCTCCTGTGAATGGTACATGCTGATTAAAAAATAACTGCAAATTTGCCCTTCATGAGAAGCAGCTGGTTGTTGATTAAATCTCCTTGAAGTAGATGTGTGTGTGTGTGTGTGTGTGTGTCTAAGACGGGGGGGGGAGTAGGGGGGGGGGGGGGGGGTTCAGTATGTGATCACGAGTGGGTCCACGTTCCCGTGGTATCTTCTTACAGACACCAACTCTTAATATCTGCCTTTTTTGTTCATTTCAGTTTCAAAATAATGAAAAGCTGCGAGTAGTTCGCTGGTGTCGCGTGTGCTTTGGACATTTTCCAGTTTGGCTTGTAGCCACTCATGAAACCTGTCCTCTCTAAGAGATTAAGCGCAGCTTAAAAAAAACTAAAAGAAGAATTCCAGCGTTTTTATGGTTTTATTGGTGTCTTTTACGATGTGGTTTATTAAGAGTTTCTATAAAAGCACCTCGGTAAAACAACAGTTGGTCTTTTAAACACAAGCCCGTCTGCTGGCTGGTGGGTTTAAAGGTGCTGAGCTCCGGAACGTCTGCCTTGATAAGTTAGGGGCATGCGTGTGTGTGTGTGTGTGTTACCTTGTGTACAAACTCCTCCATCCTCTCCATGGCGTGGTGCGCCTGCAGCAGCGGCGTCATTCCCATGAAACCTTCATCGCTGCCCCTCTCGTCCTCTTCCTCCTTCCCCTCTCCTTCTCGTCCTCGGTTGTCCTCCTCATTTTGTCTTGTCTCCTGGTCGCACTCTGGGACCCTCTGACGGGGAAAAGAAACGGACACGCCGTTAGGACGCAGTGATTTCAGAGGACCGGCTGTTTTATGACCCCGTGTTCGCTTCGTCTCCCTGAAACTGAATCGACTTCTACTCGTAACAGATTTATTGTGCAATAACTGTGAGGGACTTTTAGAATGTGCAGTAAAATAAGGGAACTGGAAGCCTTTTAAAGGCACCAAAGAGAACTGGGAAGTGAATAAACGCTGATTACGACACTGATTGGTGTGGATTGTGGTTCTTTCTCTAATTGTATGTAGTGTAATTAAATCGGATTACTGGCATTAGAACCGTGAAACACAACAGATACAACAAATAGCTACTTTTGGAACAAACAGATGTCGACCGGGTCTTTCTCGTCTATTAATTAAGGGAAGATTAGACGGACAGCGTGAAGTCAATCCAACACAATAGCCGTCACAGCTGGGGAGAGAATTAATAGCTGACTCATCGCGGCTGACAGTCACACGCTGAGCTGATTGCACACGGATCCACAAAAAAACGGTGACGTTGTTTGTGTGTGTGTGGATTCAAGAGGAAGACATGTGTAATGTGCAGGCACACAAAAAGGATGCGTTGTGGGAGCATAAAATGTACATTTCCCAAACACCAACACGGACCCACAATGTTCACCACGCACACGCCGCCGTTCAGCTGCAAGGACGAGATTAGAAAAGAAATTCCCCCCCAAAAAGCAGTGAAAAGAGAAAGATACGAGAACAAGAGAAGCACGAGAGAGAAGTCGTGTTGTATTCATAATGCATGACTAACCCATTTTAAAAAGACCCACCAGCAAACGCTCGTTGGTCCCTGCTTGTGTGTGCGTGTGTGTGTGTGCTGACCGCAATGTCTGTTGTGTGGACGGTTCCCGTCTCACATATTCAAAGACGGACAACGCTGCCCGGCTCCTGCAGGCAGAGTGCGTGTGGTGTGAGATTCATCATGCGTGACGAGGAATATCACTCTGCAGCAGGCAACAAAAGGAAAACACACACACGCACGCACAAATACGGCTTCACAGAGATAGAGGTGAAATCTGCCATTGATTTGTGTGTGTGTGTGTGTGTGTGTGTGAGAGGGTAAGCGTCAGTGATGGAGTACACTATGAGCAGAGGGTATCTGCGGGACTGCCAAGTAGTCACGTGTGCTCTGCAGTCTGTGTGTGCGTGTGCGTGTGCGTGCGTGTGTGTGTGTCAGCAGGTAATAGAAGTGGAAGCTTAAATCCAGATGCTGCCCGTCTCGCTGCGGTTGAGAGGTTATTGTTGAAGGGTGTGAATACCTGCGTGTGTGTGTGAGAGAGTGTGCGCGTTGGGGGACATCAGGGTGTCCTCTGGGTGTACTATGGATGCACACACCCCATCACACACGCACACGGTCACACATGATGTTCAACGAAGCGCACGCACGACACTTTCCCGGCAACGTGCCTCACAGGAGGACGGCGCTGTGGCGGGTTGGAACGCGCTCACCTGCACAGGGAGGCAGAGGGCTCGAGATGGATGAGGAGCGTTTAGCCTCCAGAGCGCCACGTTAAAAGGCGATTTATGAGCGCCTGGATGGAAAGCGCCTTTTTGCCAAGCCCATGTGTTTTAACAAGAAGCCCGTGCGCACGCAAATTTGAAAACAAGAAGAACCCAAATCTTCAGAGGGCCACATGGTACATTGGGTTTCGCTGCAAAGAGGAAGCTGTGGGTGTTTGCAGATATTCAGTAAAGAATTGAACTGAAAAATGTCCAACTGTCGGCCCGAGAAACCAAAAACAAAACAGATTTTCCACCGCAAAACGTCTGCTCAGCTGAAACCCAACTTACTCCACGAGGCGAAAGCTGCAGGGCCGAGGTTCAGCAGCAGGTGCACGCGGAATCAGAATCTATTAACGTCTCGCAGCGCCGATACCGACAGGAGGCCTGTGGGAGGGGAGCCGGCTACGGTTCTTGAAAGCGCAGCTCTCGCTAAAACACGTTCAGAGAAGCACGCTGGCTGCCACACGTGACTCAACCCCCGGCTGCACGTCCACAAGCTAATAAGGCCGAGGGGTCAGATTTCTCCCTGTGTGAAAGTGTGTATAAGGTCAAGGACCAACGGCAACATGCGTTGAGTAATCATGATCTCAGCCTTTGGTACATCGCAGGTTTGAAAGCAGACTGATTATTGATTATCATTTAAACAGATATAACATTATCGTATTATGGATGTAAACATTTGGCTATAAGTGGACCTTGGAGGAATCTTATTGAGTTAATATTACAGAACCTCACACTGTCCATATCCGTGTTCGGCTAGTGAACATTAATGAGCTGTTATGACTTCGACACGCTCCGCCACATTGACTCAGGAGCGAGACGAGGAGATCCCCGGAGACAGCGGCCTGCTTCACACCAAATGAGGCAATTTTCCCTAAAAGCCACTGAAGAAAAAATTCGTCCAACACACACACACACCGCGTGATAAAACACACATATTAGTTAGCATTCTGCATTTAGACCTGGATAACGTTGTTGTTCCTCCGCTCTACGCTCAGCTAGTGGAAGACGAGTACGAGGAAACAAGGGAGGCGACACGCTCGGGAGAAAATTGCCTCTCAACGGATCTTTAGACTGGAGGTGAACAAAGTCACATGGTGGGAGGAGGGCGGGACCCGGGAAACCGCCGCGACCAACCGGAATACAGCAGAATGTGAACCAGCAACGAACACAGAGGGCAGAGCTCCCCCCTGCACACAGTGACCCTGCTCAGCTCGGACGGGAGGCATCAGGTGATTCGCACGTGCACAATGCTCTCTTGGGAATGTGAGAATTTGGAAAAAGACGCTACCCGCCATCAAAAAAACAGACCGTGTGTTCCAAGAACACGCACACACAAAAAACAGGCTGCTCGTGTTTTCTGCAAGACAAGATGTTCTCTGTGTTCTCACCCGTGACCATGAGGAGGCAATGAAGAAAATCTGTTTTGAGCAATGTAACGGAGTAACACAGATTATTAACTGTTCACAGGGCTCAAAGGATTAGTTCCTTTCAAAAGGGAGTTGGTTTGTTTTTCTTGCATCGTTGGATAATGGAAGTAAAAACTGGGGCAAGATCCCAGCTGCAGATTTTAAAGCGCGAAGCAGCGTCTGATCATCCTACTGAATGCCTTTTTGAATCTATACAAACAAGATAGGATGACCACAAAGCTTTTATCTTTTTTATTTTATTCAGTAATCCTTCTATATATCATCCCAGGGTCATTTAAAATACAATTGTTGCTGGTGGTAGAAGTGGGCGGGTGTGTCTGTGTAACACAACTCAACGCAAGTCTTCCAGTATTTGTTGAGCTTACTTTAAAATGTTTGAGGTGCATGTTTACAGAGAGACATCTGTTTCGTTCTGCGGAAAAGGTCCTGTTCAAAAAAGGACACGATTATATTACTATTAAGGTAAAACTAGTATTCTAGTTTGTTCTTTTTAGAGGCATGATTGTGATACGTGTCAAGCATACACACATCTTCCATATCTAACATTTCTTACTAAAGCAATAAATAGGCTGAGATTGTTGGCAGGTTGTTGCACAATGTGGGCCGGGTGGGATCGGGAAGACACTCGCGTCACAATCCCACAGGGGCCCGTTCACAAGCGTCTGGGAAACCAGAAACCTCCTTTAAGTTGGTACAAAAGAATCATCCCTGTAGCTTCTCTTTGGATTTGGATTGGCTTCTTATTTTTGTACGTGACAAAGTAAGTAAGCGCGTTACCAACCCCGAGGGCTGCGCCGCACGCTCGCAAACACATTGAGACGCACAGCAACACGGACCCGTAATGACCGCGGGGTGCAAAGACAGCCGGGCGGCGCTGATTGGGCCAACGGGGCCCCGGCGTCCTCTCGGGTATCAGTGATGTGCTGCACGCCAGCAGACACAATACGCACACGCACACACTATTGTGTTTCAGCTCAGCCGGTGTGCTGATAGCTCTTCACACTCAACAACAGACCAGCAGCTTTGTCTGCGAGTGTGTGTGTGTGTGTGTGTGTGTGTGTATGTGTGTGTGTGTGTGTGTGCAATGCCTGTGAGGGACAGCGTCTGGTGCATTTGTTTGATCCGTCCGATAACCGCTGATCACACACACACACACACACACACACACACACACACACATATTTTGGTAGCGTATTAGCTTTCCTTCCAGGAAGGCGTCGGTATGTAGACAACAGACAAATTCAATATCCGCATCCCTTTGGACTTCGAGGGGGATCACGTTCTAACTTTGTTTTCTACAGCAGGCGGTGACTCACAGTTGGAGAGGTTGTTTGAGGTTAGAAGGGGCCGGGAAACAAGGGCGTGATCAAACCTGCGTCCTAGAGACCTGCTGCATATTCTTCAGTAAATATTTATGTAGTCTCCTACAGCGCCGGTCATGAAAGCTGTAATGCATTTAAGGTTTTTACTGTGTGTACTTTCGTAGTTATTGTCCGTTAACAGGTGTGTTATCTCTTCTTGGGATTTGATTGTGATTCACTGGAAGCGTGACAGCGTCTCACACAACTAGTGCATCTTGTATGTTTCACATACTTGTAAACTGTTCTAAAGGCTCTGATGATAATTCATCCACCAAAGTTGCGTCCAAAAACCTCCCTGAACTAACTTTGAATCTACATCTTTAAACTTTAAATTGCCCCTTTTAAAACAGAGCTCAAACTATCGTCTAATGTTTAATTAACTCAGACTTCAATCCACTTTTGATCTATAGAAACATAAGTCGTAAAAGGGAAACTTGTGCACAAACATGAAATGTGGTTGAGAGATTAAACCACAAAGTAATTACAGCGTGTGTGTGTGTGTGTGTGTGTGTGTGTGTGTATTACATGAAATGTCAAAATGTCAAAATAGGTAAAAGGAAAAATCATTTCCCACTCTAAATCTGATTCTATTTTAATTCAGATATTATTCAAGAAGGAGTATAGTTTACGTGTCGTTAGAACTATAGACTTTGCCGGTCAGCATCTGTTGTGAAATAATACACTTCCCATCTAAAAGCACCTACCTAATTAGTTATGTGAGGGTGCGTGTTTTGGTCTGATCATTTCACACCCGGTGGCTCTGATCAACCAGATGGCAGCGTGTGTGTGTGTCGGTGTGTTGGATACTTACCCCATTGTGCGCGTTGCGGCCGCTGGGAGAACCTGAGGTGGGCGTGTCGGCTTCCTCCCGGGGGCTCACGGTATCGGTCGGGTCCTCGGTGATGTTTCTGTGTCGCAGCACGAAGGCCGGGCCCTCGGCCCCGCTCTTCTCTCCTCCGTCCAGCTTGACACGCTGGACCGGCCTCCGCGCAGGGAAGACTTACCGGAGGCTGGGGACAAAAATCCAGGCGAGACCAAGTGGGGAATCTCTGGTTCTTTCCTTTATGGCAGAAAAGAGCAGAGGAAGAAAGAGAAAAGAACGTTAATCTACGTTAATCTATGGTTTTGTTCATTCTCAAGCTCAATGCTTAACATTGCTTAAAACCTGAGAAATACGGCCGTATCATTATGTAGATGAGAGACATAATCTAGCAGGGAACAGGGTCACAAGTCCAATCCCCTCCTGCATATGTTCCTGCAGCTCTCACTGCAGTTCATAACCTAACATTCTGCACCGGAGATAAACATGACGTTGTTTGTTTCATATTCTAAAAGTCATCCTTCCTTCCTTAAAAAAAAATAAAACTGCGCCGGCCAATTAGGCACCGCTTCTAACTCGCTGTCGTGGTGGGTTGCTTAGCGACAAGTGGTGTCAAGGACAGGAGCAAGAGATTCACACACAGGAAGTAGACGTGTTCACTGTTGGGAACTTGGAATCCTCTTTTTTTCTTCATCCTTCTATCACCACTTCACGGTTTATCATCTACTTCATTAACAATAAGGCGTCATTTAAACCTAACAAACAGTTCTAAATAGGGACACGGTTGCAATTTCCAACAAAATCGTAAAGTGTTGGATAAATACAAAACAAAGAAGTCCTATCAAGCACCCGTGGTATGTGCCACTGTGATTATTATTTGTTCTATTCGTTCGAAGACATTCAGCCTTCGTGCAAATAATTGAGCTCTCGATCCAGAGATTTTTTTGACGTGTTTCTACTGCGGCTTGTTTCCAAACACTCCCTCACGAGCACGACCGAAGCTTTAGTGCGCCGCGAATGTTGAAAACTGCTGGTGCACATTTGTATCAGCATGTCTGACTTTGCTGAGATCCTCTTTTTTTTCCTGTCACAAACGCAAACGCGGCTCCGTAGGGGCTAAGTCGATGTGAACCAGCCCCCCAAAGCACCAGGCCACATTTAAACCGTCCCCCTTGTGCTACCACAAACATACATTAGGGATTAAACGCAAGCTCAAGGGAGGGGAAACAACACAAAAGGCATGTTCATACACACCCATGCACTTGAAAACAGATGGTTCAAAAGAACATTTGTAAAAAAAATTAAAAAAAAAGATCTACGCATGTGGGGAGCAGAAGAGCTGCAGAAGAACTTACGCCATGGACGAGGTTTTAAGCTCATGCTGTATACTGAACTGCACATAAAGCACATTGCTTTCATTTGCCAAATCTAATAAATTATAGAGTTAACAGAACTAAAGAAGAAAATAAGTTGGTCACATGAAACCCTGCTCCTGACGGTTTGCCCACAGATGTTTAGTAGAAACTCAAATATCTGTAGGATTCAATCCACAAGCACTTATCACCTACAGACACTAAAACAATGGCAACGGTTTCGTCTCTTTCTTTTCATATTCGGAGAGCATAGGCGTGTGCTGTAGGCACATGCAGGAGGATTTCTCCTGAGAACGATAATTGGTCTCGAGATGACACGTCTAACCACCGCCTCGACGGTTGTGAAAGAACACTGTCGCGCTAAAAGTCAAAGGCACAATGCTATTCAACAGAAAAGGACAAAGGGAAATTGATGAGCGCCGAAGGAGAAAATGAAGAAAGTTTCACAGTCCAATGGCATCGACCGATGGACGGAACCCCTGCTGTGCGCTGAGAAGGTGAAGACTTTTTGAGCTGGACTGAAATCAAACGCTTCAACTTCTAGAGCGAGAGAGACCAATCAATCTCGTCCCTTTTCCTCCCTCCTCATTGACCCCAATCGACTATTTTTGAAATGTATATTGACCCTCTTTTTGAGTAACTGCACCCATGATCTTCTGTCGTGATGAAAAGCGAGATTTCATGCCGGGTCCCTATCAACCAGAGTATGAGGAATAAAAGTTCTCTTTGTATCCTCTGGCTGTGGTCGATTCTCTGGAGAACGGTCTCCTGGTCTGATCGCCACACGAGAACAAACAGCTCTCCCGACAATTGAGCTGAGAGGTTTTGTTCTGTGTGGGTCTGATGGCAGTCTGGAAGCTGCCGAAGACGAAAAAAAAGAGACACATCTTTTTGAAAGATTATGGTCCCTTTACAAACATTGGGCTGCTACCTTATCACAGGCGTTCATCATTCATCATCACAAATTGAGGCGCAGACTTTGTGTAAAAATGTAAACAAATCTTGCCTTTCGCCTTCATTCAGGTCTGTCACGCAGACGGTTAGCCGATCCAAAGTAATTATGAAAAAATACCAGGGAGAAACATTACAAGACAAACATAAATGAATATAAATACAAAACACCAATAGTGAAACCATTTTTACAGAAGTCATTCCTCTCAACCCATCACTTGGGACAGCAACCCTTAGTACATGACCCCCCCCCCCCACCTCCCCTTTGACCAACTTAGCAAAGTGTTTTTACGGAAGCCAGAAACCACCTCGGGCACCACCCTGGTGGAGGCAAGATAGCCAAAAAACATGAGGTGAAGTCATTACGACCCAGTAGCCTGGAAAACATGTGTTCCGTGTCCTTCCAACGATAGCTGCTTGATTGTCAGTACTCGTCTACAGTCATTTTATTTGCAAGCAGGAGATAAATAAAAAAGAAAAAGAAAACACACAAGCACACAAACCGCTTGGCACGGTGTTCAAAGAGCAACACTGCAGTAGCAGCACGGCCAGAACAGAACAGTCTGACCCCATATGGAGATCAAATGGATTCAACGTGATGGAACAGAAGAAGAAAAGAGGATTCACAGCAAATAGGTTTTCTCAGGGTCTAAGCCAACCCCAAATGTTGAATTTTCTGTTCTGAGAAAAGCTCTGACACAGAATATCCGTCAATAACAGGATACTAAACGAGGCATCAAGATGTTTTGCGGGGTGTAGCAGTATAATCACTATTTTCCTGGCTAATAAAAGCCTTTTGTCGTACACACGCACATCCTTGCCCTCCCCCCCTCCCTCCCGATTCGCTGTGTGAGGTTCAATTCTTTTTTTTGCTCAAACTCAAACACGACGAAGCAAAAACAATCACGCAGACATGTTCACCATCTGGCCCAGAGTGGCGCTTTAACCTCGGAGACGCCGAGCTGGCATGAAGCGGAGAAGAGACTCAGCAGCCCGAGTGCCGCAGGGTAAACATTCCCCAAATAAGCCATCAAGGTTGTCTGCTGTTAGCGGCAAAAAAAAAATATGTCTTTCACCGCGCTTTCGGTTCTGTTTTTCGGTGTCATTATTTTAAATCGCCCGACATCATGAACTATCCCTGAATCGACTAAGAGATGATCGTCTGTTAGCCATGCTTGCTATTGAGCTTTTAGTATTGATTTGACCTGCAGGTCAATACCAGCAGTAATGTGTCGGTGTTTGCATGTTATGTGCATCGTTCAGCCACTATTTCTGTGTGCAAGGATGATCTTATCTTAACGACACAACGTGGTATCAAACCTCTCATCTAACTCTCGGTAAGTAAACAAGCATATTTCCCAACGTGTGCTGTTAAAAATGGCAAAAATGTTTAGTTACACAGACCATCTTTAATTATCTGTCAATGATCCTGTGACCTTTAATAACCAGGCGACACCATTGAATCTAAATTCTTATTGTGCAATTCAATGTAAGGAGAAGTAAAACAAGTCTTGACCTAGACATTCACTTTAAAACTGCACTTTGGGATGAAGGTCAAATACACAAACGTAACATGCTAACTGTAGCATGCTAACAGTTAACACACGCACAAGGTCATTTATTCACGTGCATTATTCCACACGGACACGAGCATGTGCAGCAGCATTTCTTCAGGCTCATTGTCGTCATCATCTTTCTATTTGTGTCCCTCTCTCTCTCACTCTCTCGCTCTCGCAAACACATCAACACACACACACACACACACACATCAACACATCAACACACACACACACACACACACACACACACACACACACACACACACACACACACACACACACACACACACACGACAGCTGACTTCACACCAAAGCAGTTTGGAGTCAGTCATTGTCACCATGGAGCCGGGGTCCAAAAATCAATCACAGAAAAGAACAGAGAGACTGAGGATCGAAAGAATGAAGAACATTTGAAATCCGACAAGAACCGTCAATGAGACTTGATTTGTCCTCTTGTTGTTATTCTCCCCGAGGGAGACAGCGAGTTGTTGGGAGACAGCGAGGGAGACGGCGAGTGGGGAAGTAGAAGTGGAATGAAAGCAAAAGATGGACAGATTTAGATTTTTTTTTCTTAAAAGGGCCTGTCTGTGGACGCCGAGAACATTGGTGCTTCACTAAAAACGTGTGAATGGAGGCGGCTGTCGAGCAGCATGCTTTTATCCCCCCGACGTGGTTCAACCCCCCCGAGTTGGACACGGTCGGCAACCCGCTGTGACATCACTCTCCTGTCCGATCACGGTGGCACACACGCCACTTTTCAGAACACACACACACACACACACACACACACAGCATTTGCTTTGCATATACAGTTACATCTTTTGTAATCCGAGAAATGTCTGTGCTTTCGATGTAACATAGCAGCGAGGATAATGATATTTAGTTCATAGCAACAATGTCATTTGATACATTGATAGATTAAATATTTATCATGGGGGAAAGAAAATAGATGGCTTTTATCAGAGGTTATGTGAGGTACTTTTCCCAACAAAATGCATTTTCTCTGCAGTGTTGCTGAAACAACGAGGCGATTCCATCTAAATTACAAACCCTCCTTACTTTGGCACGACGATGAGCTTTTCCATGACATCCAACCTGGTTTTTCCAGTTAGGGAGAGAAGGCCTAACCAGTATACAGGAGTATGTTGAAACAGGAAACAAACGCCTTGCTGTTTAAAATCAGTCCAAACTGGTTCACGCTGATCCGGGTCTTTTCTTTACCTATAAACTTTTCAGTTTCACACCTTGACTTAAGGAGCATCTAACAGGTTAACTTGCACTTCAAACGTCGCTGTGTAAGTCGAACCTTACACAGCGATCGGTATTGTTTTTATCGTTAATGTTGGTCCAAAAGGCA